CACTGAAACCCCACTATTTGCGAGATTATATTTTACCCTCATTGCGCTGCAGTAAAACAATCCATCTTTCCTGCTCCTCCTCTGGCAGCCTGGCTTCCCCTGCTGCCCCCGGGATGCTCTGCAGAAAATCCCTCTTACTCACTGCACTCCATGTTATCTTGACTTCATTGCGTCAAGACATCACATGGCCCTCTTAAACAGCAGACTTGCAGGAAAATGCTGCAACAGTGCTTCACCACGAGTCTCCTGGATTGACTCCAGAAGGAGGCACAGATTTTATTTGTATAACCTCATAAGCAACGTCTTGTTCTCAGCCCATAAATCTGTCTGTCGTACATCAGAGGCAATTATACCTTTTTTAAGTGCTGAGAAAAAGGACATTCATTTAGATAAAGGCAAACAAAAAATAATTTAAAAAAAACATATTACAAATTAAGTTGAACAGAGGAGGCAAAACTCTTTCTGGATTATAACATGTTTTTTTGTTTGTATAGCAGAGGCTTTTTTTGCCTGTCCAACTTTCCAAACGCTATTTTTTTTTTACAAAATATGGCACACCGCCTTTGTTAAATCTTAGGTTAGGTTTTTTGTTTGTTTGTTTGTCTGCACCATCACAGAAAATGTCTTATGGGCAGGATGTAGCATGGGCCAGAAAGAAAACTTTACATTTCAGATGCAAAATACTTGTACTTTTTTGTAAGATCTGACAAAGCACTCTGAGAGCTCCAAGAGTTTTGCTTTTTTCATTTAGAATAACCAATATATGGAATCACTCAATAAAAACAACCCTAAACTCCAGCCAAACACAGATTCTCTGAACTTTCACAGCTGGACAAGGACTGTTCTGTGCTTGGTAAATAGGTCCAAAAAACCCAATAGCCTAAGCCAAAAAATATTTAGTTCTATTCATCATTCAAAAATGTCTCTTAATACTTCCATAGTGCATTTTAATGATTGAAGCTTACTTGCTCTGTTAATCAAATGCTATACAGACATTTTGAAGGAGTTCAGCTCACATATGATATTGGGTGGAGTGCAACAGTAGAGAGTTTTCACCAACCATACTAGGCGGTAACACAGCTGCCAATGCAGGATTTTGTCTCTAAGGGTCAAAGTTTAGGGATCTCCAACATTCTAGTATTGTTTTCAGAGGGTTTCCTGTGCTGTGAGGAGACAAGTGTTCACTGAGCTTTCAATTCCTGTCCTCAAACGGTGTAGGGCAATTATATTGTAAAGCAGGTGTCCAGTGGAAGGGTTAGGGCTATAACGGTGATGTATGGACTCGAGGTTGGGAATGTCATGAATTAATACTGTGTGCTCTCATATACAGTACATTTCATAATGAAGCTATAATTTACAGAGCAGCAGTAATGAACCACTGTGCAGAACATTATGACTATTGACCTCAGCGAGATAATCAGACTCGCCTAAGATCTTAAATTGATGATACAATTTGCATGAATGCACACAAAAAAACGTTCTTTCATCCCAACATGCTCTCCACTAAAAGAATTGTTGTTATGGTCCGTACGGACTAAATCCCAGTGGTCGGCAGACAACTCTTGCAAAAATATTGCTCCATCATTAGTTTAGTATCACAGAAAGACACTGATTACTAATTTGTATTTTGATTATTTCAGCTTTTGGGACTTACTTTTGCTTTTACTAAACAGTATTGCAAGGTTTAGAGGGAGAGGCAGTGTACTTTATAATTATAGCCTAATAATAAACAGCTCAGAAGCTGTTTTTTCTTTGTTATGGGAAACGACTAGAATGATACAGAAACCCCATTTTCCATTTCATATAACAGAACTAGAAGCAAAAGGTCCACAATAAGCTCAATTACACAAGACACCATCTAATTATATGATACTGTCACAAGGTCCTTCAATTATAGCCTGTTATAAAGCTTGAAATGATTAAATCATCATCCAGACAAATAATTGTGGTCTTGTTTTGGATGATCCCACCAGACTTTGAACATATTTATGCTGCTCCTCATCCCCCTTTTCTCCATCGGCCTTTTTATCTGAAGATAACCCCCAACTCGGTTCTCCACAAAAAAAGAAAAAGCAGATGGCTTCATCTTTAAATAGAAAGACATAGAGGCAAAACGCAGTAGGTCTGCCACCAATTATAGCTTCATGTGTAATCAAGCAACAACATGAATGTTTAATTTAATCACTTTGAATCAAATACATCGTTTCTTTGGTAGGATGCCCAAATAATCCCACCAGGACTTTGAGAATTTGCCTTGAAATCAACTCAGATTGTTCTCAGACACAGTTTGAAATAATGGGGTCAATAACAATAATAATACATTTACTGTTTTGCTTTTTAATACATGACACACTAATACTTTAATAGTCTAACTGGCTGCTAGTTATTTTTTCATTCTATACATTCAGTGATGTTCGCGTATGGGATTGTATTATGTGACCTATCTAGATTCATCTTTCTGTTGAAATGAGAAGGGAGCTGATAAGCTGAAAGTGGGGCATCCATGTTTACTGTAGCATTTTAATTTGTGGTTCAAAGCCTTGCTACATACATGTCAGAAAGGAAGCAAGGAATGAGGCTGTGGGTGCAGATACAAAGACCTTTATGCTAAGGATATACAGATAATATAGAAAATGAAAGATCCTAAATATCAAACATTAATCTTTTGAAGCACTTGATGTTTTGTGGTTTGCCCCACTAATAATCAGAATCCTAACTGAGAGTTTTATCTATGCCATAAACCGTGGTCATTGTATTTGTTTACATGGCAAATCAAGGAAAGGCAATTATGAACATCAGTCTTTTTCACTTTCACTTCAGGACTACATAAACATTCTCCTCACAGATCTTTTACATCCACAGCCATTGAACCCACTCAAAGAGCTGGGAGTACTTAGGGAATAATTCTCCAGTTTCTCTTGGTTCCTGAGAGGGAAGGGCACACTGCTGGTGTGCATGACCTATTTTTCCAACTCATCTGTCAAATGCAGAGCTGCAGCTGGTGGTTCAGAGTTCCCCTTTTGTGAAAGAATGTTTTCAAAAGTCCTCCTTTTCACTCATGCACATTGGTGTCACATTTTCCTGGGGCATTTCTCTTGGCTCGTCTGCTTTGGCACACTCAAAAAAAACACATCAAACAAGGAACATAACTGCATCTTTGGGAAAGTATTTCTGTCAGGATTGAAGAAGTTAAGTGGTATGTCCCACTAAAAACTGAGCTTTAAGCCCTCAGAGCTGAGAGGGAAAGGGAGGCCCCCGGGTGAAGGGGAGAGCTGGGACAATGGTTAACCACAGAGTGAAGCATGCCGCTCGAGGCAGAGGCCAGGCGGCACGACATCACAGGGAGAAAAAAGGCTTGCCCCCACAGCATCACTGTTGCAATTCAAAGTGATGGCAGTGTGAGTCTGCATGCATCCACAAGGAGGGCTTGGCTGACCAAATCACACCCCCGACATTATGGAAACACAGTCTGTGTCGCTGCAGTGGTTTCACCATTCAGTCAGCGGCTCATCTGCCTGGCAGAGTGGTGCTGCCATGGCTCATGTATAAATCTATCCTTAGTCCTTTCAATGACTCATGAATGTAACTCAAGGATGTTACAACATGCAATGACTTAGATTTAGGAAGTCCGTTTTTCAACTGCCGCTTTCAAGTGCATGGCCATGAAGACTTTTTGAAGACAAACAAATATTTAGGAATGGTGGAAATAAATTCTCTGCAGCACATAACACGATTGTGTATTCCTATTGCTTTAAATGAAGGACTTACACATACAATATACACACTTTTATCATCACAAAGTTCCTAAAGATACCAAGAATAAACACTGAAAGCATGAAGGTGCTTTGATGAAGCGCCGCTCGGTGTTCTGTAATCTTGGATTCTTGTCATTTCTTTTTACACTTGACACAGTACACTGCACTGAGGCAGTGTTTTGTATGTGATAACAAAACCTCTTTTATATGAGATGATCAAACAACATTTTGGTTTCTAATAAGAGATGCTCATTAGTGGGAGTTTTCCTTCCCATGGGAAGTGACACCACTCATCCTGTTTGCTGTAGCCTCTTCCATCAGGTTGCATTTCTGTTCTGCAAAATAGGCCTTTCTCTCTTCCTGAGTGAAGGCATGCTGATGACAGCACTACAAAGAGGATTCGGGTTTCTCTCCTGGGTTTCTACTGGCATGAAGGATCTGTAGTCTGCCTGGCAGCGTCTTCTTAAGGCGAAATGTAACCCTTATACTCGCTCCAAGTGGGGGAGTGCATTCGTTTCTCAATAAATCAGTTTGATCTCACAGACCTACACTCAACCGTCACTTTACAGCCTGGCATGGAGTTTCAGTGGTCATTCCCACGCTCAGCAAGAGGCTTTGTGCTGCTGATGATCTGAAGAGTATAATGAACAAAGCTCAGAACATTGCATTTCATGATGATTCACTGCATTCACCAAAAGTGTGTGAAGATTGTAGATGATTGCAGGACTGCACGGAGTGACATCACATGTTGTGCTTTTAATGCTTTTTCACAAATGTAAGACAAGTTTAAGCTTTACATGTATTTTCCCTTTAAATATTATTAGTGCACATTTTGAGTAGTGCAAAAAGTCTCATCCTAATGAGTGTATCAAAACTGATATTAACTATAACTATGTATGTAAGTCTTAAGTCAGCAGGTTTCTAAAGATGAGTCATCATGTTGTGTTTCGAACAATTCCTTTTTGGATTGCTTCATAGTGTTAACGAGTGTTTCTACTTTCTTTATATTTATATAACCTGTAGTGTTTAATTCCTCTTAACATATTTGTCTTCAATCAGAATCAAACACTTTCAGTATGTGTCAATGTAGAAAAAAATGTACCAATATATGGTTTGTCGAAGAAGAATATCTGAGAAAAATAATGATGTCTCATCATGATATGTTTTTGAGAATGTTGTGCAATGTTGTGACAGCAGAACAAACAGGCCTCTAATATGCTCTTTGTTTGGTGTTTCGATGCACAGAGATCCGTAACCAGCTGGTGGAGCAGTTCAAATGTTTGGAGCAACAGTCTGAGTCTCGGATCCAGCTGCTGCAGGACCTGCAGGAGTTCTTCCGCCGCAAGTCAGAGATTGAACTGGAATACTCCCGCAGCTTAGACAAGCTGGCCGAGAGGTTCTCCTCCAAGATCCGCAGCTCCAGGGAACACCAACAGTTCAAGTGAGTGTCCCTCCCTGCAGGCTGGAGATGCAGCCAGTTGCTGCTGAAACTGTTGCAGGTACTGTGTGTGTGCAAGGGCGTTGGGTTGGTTAATTGAATGGTCTACAAAAAACATAAAAATACTGACCTCATACGCATCCTCTTCTATGTGCATCTCCACAAAAACACTGCTAGCTGCTCTATTTAAAATATAATATCTGATTGATGTTCATAAAGCTAGTGTCCTTTCTCCTTTCAACATGTACTGTAGACCACAAGAAAGTGACTTTATCCCCCTCTCAACACTTCTCTATTTATAACCTGACTGTAGGACCCAGCCCTGCTGCTAATCACAGTGCCTTGTTTGATTACAGTGCAGAACTATACAACAAACGACTCCAACATGATCATGTACTGTAAGGGAATATCCATTATTACAGTCAACATCTTTAAGGCGTCTTCAAAGTTCAGCTAGTTCTGGGGCGATGCTGAGGATGCAGTTTATCAAAGAGGTTAAAGACTGTTAACACTTTCAGCTCTAGAAACACTGAAATACGCTGGTGCAAAAAAATAGATGTCTTCTGCACAGAAACAACCACTTTGGTACCATGCTCACACGGGGCATGAAATGAAGCACTGCAGTCCCAACAGTCCAGCACCTGGGGCGAGCAGGCAAGTTTATTTCTGTTAGTTTACTCTGGAAAACGGGACACTTACCCAACTGTGACCTGGCAGCAGATCTTAGACAATAATCTACATTAACATGTATTTAGTCTACGTTCTGATTTTGCAAATGGAACTGGCAGGACTGCGTTCCTCACATTTAATATTTAGAATCTTAAAGTATGTAATATGAAGACATCTATCCAACTCTTAAATGCTCATTGTTATGCGGCACGACAATATTATAACCAGCATGCTCAAATGAAAATAATATCAAATTATTATTGAAATCAAAATAATATGTTAACAGATTTTGTTATCAGGTGTGAACAGACTTTTTAGTCTGATACAGTAAATGCATGTACCATATGAATACTACAGTAATGTAAAACAGAAGGAACATAATTCCTGTATGTCATTCAATAAAATACAGTAAATGAATCAACAATTGGTACGTTTAATTACATTAGGGGGTAGTGCAAACTACTACATGTGCATATGGTTGTGCAGCATAGTGTATGCATGCAGTACCTTTCTGCTCTTATTTGGAGAGTTTGGACAACGCCAGTAAGGCTTCTCTGTGAGTTTACTTATGATGATTATTAAATACTTTTACTTGAGTTACACACTAAGGGCTCATTGGCTCTCTGACACAGAATAAGGAACGGTAGAAGTGTGTGTATAGAATGTAAATGTACAGTACACAGCAGAGCTGTGTGTGAAGTGGATGAGGATTTGAATTCGTAAATTGAGTCCAGATGTGTTTGAGGCGCTTCACTGTGCTGTCTTAATCTTGTAGTATGGCTGATATTAGACAGAGCTGTGCTGCAACACACTGGCTAAACCTTTGGACTGCACAGTGGATTTTTATCCAATCACTGGCGGCAGGTGTTATAGAAAAATACCGTATATAAAAATATATTACCCTTTATCCGAGATCCATCCATCCATCCATCCATCTTCTCCCGCTTATCCGTGGTCGGGTCGCGGGGGTAGCAGTTCCAGCAGAGAGCCCCAAACTTTCTTTTCCCTGGCGACATCAACCAGCTCTGACTGGGGGATCCCAAGGCGCTCCCAGGCCAGCGAAGAGATATAATCCCTCCACCTGGTCCTAGGTCTACCCCTTGGTCTCTTCCCAGCTGGACGTGCCTGGAACACCTCCCTAGGGAGGCGCCCAGGTAGCATCCTAACTAGGTGCCCGAACCACCTCAACTGGCTCCTTTCGATGCGAAGGAGGAGCGGCTCAACTCCGAGTCCCTCCCTGATGACCGAACTTCTCACCTTATCCCTAAGGGAGACACCAGCCACCCTGCGGAGAAAACCCATCTCGGCCGCTTGTATCATGGCAAATAAAATAAAAACCGAAGCCAATAATTGTCCAAGTTCACACATAGTTCAAACATACACACGCATGCACAGAGTTGAACAATATGTGCTAAAGGTCCAAACTGGACCAGTGAAACCACAGAGGAAATGTGGGTGAGAGGCTACCACCCATACTTGACATATATAGAGGATGTAATCAGTCACACTTAACATCTGTGTTACCTGTCCTTCGTACAACCCACACTCTTTACAGAGTGCATTAGTATCAAACTGACCAATATTTGATCCAAAGAGAGTATTTTTAAGCTCATAACGTGTTTGCACCTTGTACTGTGCACTCCTGTGAGCAGACAGGCAACCACTAATCCTTGTAATCAGCTGTGACACGCCCTGTACTGTGCCCTTCCTCCCACTTTAGTAAAGTTTAATTTATAGCAAGCCACCAAAAATGGAACTTTGCTAGAACACAATTTGTGGGTTTGTCAACAAAAAAAACACTCTGTGCATAAATCCCAACCATGCATAAGCACAATCAAAAAGAGTAAAAAACAAAAGTTTGTAGGCCTTTAAGCCTTTTGGATTTGATCCCTTTATTGACACACTTTATTGACTTGATTGATATTAATGATCTTTTGCTTGATCTTGGTTTTCACTAAAAGGATGTTCCCATGTCTTGTGATTAAATAAAATTAGGAAAATATAAAAAATAATTACTCCAATAGCTTTAGTGGCATTTTAAGAGTTTTAAGTATATTTTGATGATTATTAAGATAATGTTGTAAACCACATTATTTTATAATAATTACAACAAGACATTTCACATCGTCCCAGGAGTACTTTAGGACATCATAGTATCTTGTGCCAGTTAAACTTACAGTATATGTTTTAGAGAGCTATCAAAACTGAGCGTTAAACTTGAGTCATTTTGACCAGGGCAGACTTCCATATGTGCTGGATCACAGTTACAGTCTGTTGGCTGAACCCTCCCAGTGCAGATTCATTAGCAAGCTGAATTACACAGTGATTTACAGCTACTGCAGCTTCAGCCTGACCAAGGATCATTTTGCTTTTCCCCTTTACCTCATTTGCCACAGTGAAAAGACACACTGAAAGAGCTGCTCCATGCTGCTGTTGCTTCTCCCAATAGTGCACCACTTCCTTTCTCTTTCTGGTTCACAATTCCTGAGAGACAACAGATAACTTGATTATAACTATGGGGTAGACATTTCAGGGTATATAATGTGTGTGATTTATAATGTAGCACATCAAATTAGAGTCGATTGGTATCATCCATCTGTCATACAGACATATTCAGACGTAAAATAGCACCATTAAAAAGACATCTCATGCAATATTGATATGGACAATAACCTGTCTGGTAGAGATAAGACTGGGCTTGTTGCAATGCCCAGATTGGTGTGTGTCTGTGTGTGTGTGTGTTTGTTAATCTCTTTGTGTGTATCCAAGTGATTGGTTTTGGAGGAGCTGGGGGAGAAAAGTGTTGTGTATCCGTACAGTGCCAGATCTTTGTACTGTATATTTGAGTTTTGAAGCTGATTTTGCTTATTTCTAAGTGATGTCTCTGTTCATTTCATGGTCAGCAGGGTAAAGCTTTGAAAACTATCAATGGATACTTCTGCTTGCTTCTTTTAAAAGCAGTTAAGAGTCATGCAGCCTGTGTCCAGAACACATTTGTCTTTAAAGGGCCAATATGAAAAGTGTGAATGCTTTAGTTATGATGTGATTATGATGAATGATGTCTGCTGCAGTACACTGTAAAATATTACCATGATTTCACAATATTTAGCTGTAATATTTTACAATAAATTACTGTTTTACCACTTTACAGTCTTTACCTGTAATGTTCACAATATAACACTGTAATTTAGAATTTCACAGTGAAATCAATACAGGCACAGTTAATTACTGTGAATGTACAGGATAAATGATTACCAGGAATTCACAGCATGTTACTGTATTATTTCATAGTAAAATACTGTATTCAGACTATCCTCTGGGATAACACAACAAATTAAGTGATTTTCTTGCTTTTATCGCTCTTGCTTGGCTTTAAATACTAATTTCTTTCTTTGGTGCAGGTTTTACTTCAATTGAAAGGGGCACCGCTGCATGTGCCTTAAAATAAACGAGGCAACATATACATCTATGTAAAATTGAAATTGTTGTCTTGGCTTAGTGTTTTCAGGTGCATCCTGGGCATTAATCCTGAGACGGACTCGAAAGCCAAAAAGAGGCATGGCAATTTAAACCCCCATGTCAGCACATTCTTAAGAAAAATTGTTGACTTTGAGTGGATGTCTGTATAGACATGTGTTAAGTGCTCCCCTCCTTGTTTTCTGTCTCCCTGGCTCCGCCTCTGCCCAGGTGCACCTGGTCTGACCCTGGCTCCGCCTCTGCCCAGGTGCACCTGGTCTGCCCATGGCTCCGCCTCTGCCCAGGTGTTCCAAATTCCACTCAGCCGTGTGTATATATAAAGAGAAGCTGGAGGAGAAGGATGTCTCGCCTATCTTAATGCCCGGAGACACTGTCCTTACAATACCTCTTTGCCATTCTGAGCTGTAGGCCATATTTTTGCAGATGTGTTTATGTTTAGCCTGGAGGACCTGGTAGTCCAGTTTTCGCGGCTTTATTTTGTTTCCCATAGGGTTTATATTTGATTTTTGGTTAGGCGGGGGAGTTCTGGGTCCTACGGCCCGTGGTGTGGCTGGCTTGGGTTCCCTCCTTCTGTTTGTTCCTTTTGGCCAGTCCTCCAGACCTCTTTTTGTTTCCCGTTCCGCTTGTGTGAGCAAACGGCTGATTATCAATAAATGCTCATTACCAAGTACCGGTTATTGCGTGTATTCTTTCATGTTGCGGGTCTCAGCATGAGCCACTACCGCGGAGTAGAGGTTGGGGCCGTAACAACATTTCCAAGACACTGTGAAATGTACTTTGCACTTCAATGGAGTAATACAAAGTTAAAATGGGCATTTTCTTTGTTTTTCTTTGTTGATTGAGCTGATTGAATTGTGTAGTTATGGTACAATCCCAGTCAAATGTACAATATATTATCGTATTATTTAGATTTGTATATTTTCAGTAAATTACTGGCTACTGTGTTGCATTACTTCTACAGTAATAGTGTGAACATACAGGTAATTACTGTAATTTATATAATTTATGTACAGCAAGGTACCATAATAACACAGCTCTGTACTGCTATATCACAGTAATTCCATGGGCATGGCAACTGTAAAGTCACAGTATTTAGTTGTACTTTTATTCTAATTAACTGTAAAATATATACAGTAAATTACTGTGAAATATTTACAGTCAATTACTGTGATATTTTTGTAAGACTTGGTTTATTTGAACACAGCATTTCAGTCCCTGCTCTTGTCAGCTTGACAAATCAAGTTTATGTAAGTCAGCAAGCACAACATCAGTAAAGGAGCTGGTTTGTTTTTCAGATCTTGTCAACTCTTCATTGAAGCCGTGCTGTGCTCCACTCTGCTCTGGTTCCTGTGTCTGTGCAGCTGTGCATTATCAAGTGTTGGCAGTGTGTCTGCTCACACAAAAATGTGCTAAATGATGTGCAGATCAGCACTGAAGCCTTGCTTGAAAACAGGGGCAAAATGAATTTCAATAGCAAAGCTGGCTGCATGTGCCCACGTTCCCCTTGTCTTTTAAAACTGTGTTTGGGTCCTTCTCCTCTCCTTAGCTGTTTCATTGATAAGCAGCAGGCAGGCAGCGTGGAGGGGATTAAAGGCCTTCACAGAGCCGAGTCCTAGTTTGATAAATACACACTTCCTTCTGGAAATCCTGGCTCAGACACATCATAGGCCCTGGGTGATTAGATGGTGGCATCCACTGCAGCCATGACTAAAGCAGATGCACTATTCTATATAATGCTCACTTGTCCAGGGTATGCACATTATGGGGACAGCTTGCCATCAGTTTGTCCTTGAATCAAAGGATTAGTGCAATATTGTCCAACCCTACACTCTTTCATTGTTTCTCTTTTCACTGTCTCTGTCTGATCTTCTTCATGCTTCTTCATGCATTCACAGATGATACTGCATGTATGTGTCTGCCTCACAGAGACAGTGATGCAGTGCAGAACTTGTAAAAACCATAGAGACACCCAGGCAGTGCTTTGCAGATTGAGACGGATGTAATAGGATGCCAGAAAGCTACACTCGTCTCACCTCCTTCTCACTTCTCTAGAGACTCTCAGAGTTCATTGTTTGCCTCCTGTATGTTAATGATATCCTGTGTATAAATACCGAGGACATGGAGCTATCCAAAACCAACCCTTTTGAAGCCATCTATATTAATTGACCCGCGGGCTTCACGATTGATACGCAGCCTTTTACAGGAAATCGGCAAGGAGAAGTGGTTACTAATACAGAGTAGAGATTAATGAGTTTTGCCACATGCTGAAGTCGATATTTTGTGATAGATTGACCTCTGTTTAAAGAGCCGGTACAAACAAAGTATTGTCTCTTTCCCGTAAAACGAGTACAGGAGCTAAATGTATTGCCGTGTTAAAATACTCCCAGACATGCTGCTAGTACACAGGCCTGATTACCGACCTTCTGCTCCTAATTCCTGTGAAATGAGGACAGCGACTTGGGAAGAGAGGTTTGGTGTCCTTTGTCTATTTCTTTCTTCACGATTTAACCCTTAGCATTAGGAATATGTACCTTTTCATTTTCAGACCTTCTTATTTATTACCATCATTTTACATATTTTCTGTCAAATTCTACCTCAACAATAGTTAAATAGATTGCCATTAACATGTGTACAGACATAGTCATGGTCCCCAGATGATACATCAAAAATAACTAAGTAATCCACTGTTCCACTTCCCTCTAGTGCCACCATGAGATTGAGTGACCTTGAATTAAACCACCATAAAACCATAGGATGGATTGTGATTTACTTTTGGTACATTCATGCCCAATTAGGATGAACTTTGATGATCCTCTGATATTTCAACCCGTTTTTACTACTTGAATCGGTCTGCTTCTGTGGTTTATATAATGTGGTTTTTTGCTAATTAATGACTGCTAAACAGCTGATGTGAACATAATAACACACTAAACTAAGATGGGGACCACAATCAACATTAGACCTGCTGATCATCAGCTTGGTAGTATTGTTATTATCAGCATACAAGCACGCTAATGTTAGCAGTTAGCTTAAAGCTCCCTTATGTTATCCAAAGGCACATCATGTATATAGACTCATGGCTCTGTTTGATGCATTATGAACATACTTATGCTATTTTTTGTGTAGTTCCTGCTGATTCAAAAAGATTAAACGCTGAAGAGGACAAAAAGAGACACAAATTGGAGCCTGGTTGTGCTTAGTGTTGTGAGGAAGCATCTCTGACCACTTTTAGGGATTAGCAGAGAGTAGAGGTGCTTTTTTCCCTTAAACCTTTCAACCACAAACAGCAATTAAACACAGAGGAGCTGTGTTGCTTACAGGAAGATACGTTAGTCAAGCAGAACTGAGACATTAGGCCATCCAAGAGTGAAGGAGAATCTGGTTCTCTAAACTCATGATTTCCAGCAAGTCTGGTGCATCTCAAGGTTCAAGGTTCTTTATTGTCAAACTAACATAGCTACAGAGTAATTATGTCGTTGAAAATCTTAGGTCACAGGCTTCTCCAACAATGCAACACAATAATACAGATAAGCAGACAATATTAAAGCAATATTAAAGTATATTATATTAAAAGTAATACAAAAAGAAAAATAGTTTTTAAAAAAGTGAGAGAAAAGAAGTGGAATAGTGCAATACGAGTCTATATACAAGTTATTGGAATGATATATTAGATAATAGATACATAATTACTAAGTAGCAGATGAATGTTATGAAATTGTTTCAGCAGTTTAATTGTTTAACAGTCTTATTGCCTGCGGGATGAAGCTGTCTCTGAATCTGGTGGTTTTTGTCCGGATGCTCATTTTTAAATACAGAAAATTAATATTCAATTTAATCAATTTATTATTACAAGGCTTTAATGGGGCGTGCTGAATTTTCTCAACTCATTCAAATTACCATAATAGCCAATTAATTGACTTGCAAGAGGGATCTCAGGACACCTTTCTCTATCTAATATTGCAGGCCCAGTAATAAATGTACAGTAGATGTTTTTGCCATCCTGCCTCCAGGGTACTGTCGTGCACTGATGCCTGGAGAACCATGTCAACGTTTGTGTCCTTTCAGCCTGATGTACAGTAAGTGCGTTTATGGGCAGAGTTGAGTTAAGGAATAATGGGTAAAGCACTCTGGAGTAGCTAGATATCAACTTCATTAGATGTGATTAGCATTAAGGAATCTCTCTGAAGGACGGCTCTTTGATGTTGGTGCTGCTCATCTCCTCTTTCTGCTCCACAGTGAAACACTATCCCCCAACCCTTGGCCTGGCTCGCTCCCTCCTTTGCTTTCATTTCCCATCTTTCTTTTTCTCCCTCCTCAGGGTTGGTTGATCGATTAACGCTCAGATAGGATCCATCCAGACAAGGGTATGGGGTTTAAGGGGATTGTGTATGTGTCGGCTTCCTTGTCTCAGCCTTGCTCTTTCTATTGGAAATCACCAGAGGCGGAGACAATTTAAACTGATTATGCAGCAATCAGAGCCCATGATTCTCTGGTCATTGTGGTCACCAGCATTATATATTTACAACAAGTTGATGCCTTATAGGCGTTGTCTTTGAGTGTGGTTGCAGGAAAGGATGAAGTGAGGAAGGAGGACATTCACTTAGTAAAGAAAATAAGTTTGATATAGTCATTTATCACCCACATCAGTGTGAATTGTACTGTATTCACTTTGTTGATTTCCTAACAATTCGTTCATCGGGCATCACAATCTGTTAAAATGTTTACATTCTTCAATACTTTGGTTAAACCTTATATGTATACTTTCGCCGTATGCTAAAATGGTCACTTCAGATTAGCATCCTAGCATTGTCATTGTTAGCATGATAGCATGCTGATTTTAGCATTTAGTTCAAAACACGGCTGTGTCTGATTTTATCCTCCTTATGCTGTTGACTCTTATTCATCTTTAAATTAGGATAATGCTATATAAACTACACATGTATAACCACCTTTACATACAGTTTCTAACAGTCCTGTATTTTTCTTGTTTGGATTCTTTTTCTTCAGGAAAGACCAGCACCTGCTGTCCTCAGTAAACTGCTGGTACCTGGTGCTGAACCAGACGAGGCGAGAGAGCCGTGACCATGCCACCCTCAGCGACATCTACACTAACAACGTCATCCTCCGCTTTGCACAGATCAGCGAGGACATCATCCGCCTGTTCAAGAAGGTCAGAACAACTATCATCCTTCCGCATTTGTTTTCTGCTGCTCTCTTATTACCAGTGCTCAAAAGGTCAGATACAATAAGCATGCCAAGCAAAATGCTTAAATACATTGTTTGTGGTTTTCATCTTTTCTTTTTTGTTAGCTTTTAGACTTGTTTTAATGCTTTGTTTTTAATGTCCGGCAGCTAAAATCTACTTCTCTACTTTTGGGCTTAAATGTATCCAAAGCATACAAACTGATGCTAGCCCAAATAAATGTGGTGCGTTGAGCTTTGTCCCAGCACATTTTCATTTAGTAGAAGGTGTATGAGTTGTATTTGGCCTGCAGAACAGCATGGGGAATAGTGAAGCTGAAAACCCCTCGCCCAACACCCTGTACCCCCTATAAGTGTGAGCAACATCTGGCTCAATGTCAGCACATAGCAGGGATGACTGAGGTCTTATCAAAACACCAGAACCCTGTTTTCACCTTGCAGGCTTTCCTGTAGGTGAGCTGCACTCTGCTTACTGGGCTCCATTCAGATATTACCACTCCGTTGGTTTAAGTCCTCAGTGCCCTCAGATATGTTTTCAATATTTGAAAGTATGAATTGATGGCTTTGCTGCTCATAGCTGGCAGACACAAGGCAAGGCAATACATAATGCATGAAAAACATCATGGTGCACTGCAAAACATTTACAAAAGGTTAAATATAAATAACTGAAATAGCTTGTCATATTGGACATGACAAGGAGATCAAGGACAAAAAGGTATAGCTTTCGTATTTTTTTTTATCTAGGGCCTGTTTAGCATATACATGACAAACATTAAAATGACCAAATATTAATGCAATGAATGTAGGAGGGTCAAATGTAAATGAACAGCAAGCCTGTTTTATGACTCTCAGTATAAGTTAATTGCAAAGATAATATATTGTAACATAAACTATAGCAGGTGCAACTCTGCTTCTTTTCGCCTTTTCATATAGGGAAGATTATAAGAATGGTTACTAACAGGCATTTCTATAAGAGCTGCTACAATACCACCCGTCACATCTCTTACAGTGTGTTGCATCATGGTGCTTCACTTGCTGGTTGAACCCTCCCTGCTCTCCCTCTCTCTGCAGTGCACGCTGCAGTCTGTCTCACTTCAGAGCCACCGATGCATACAGATGCCATTCACCAGCTGCCAGATCCCTTTGAGGATATTCCCATTTATCACATTCAGTCCAATGCTTGTTCGACTAGGATTTAAAACCTCAATACACACAGAGTAAAAACATAAAATCCCTTCTGTGATATTAAGGTTATTTAGTTTTTATGCCAAGAATGTTCTTGTTTTGGTTTGTTTGTATAACAGCAGGATTATGGAAAACTACTGGCTTAATTTACCCGACACTTTGGCATAGGGAGAAGAACCAATTCAGTTTTGCAGAGGATCTGAATCACAGGACAGATACATAAATTATCTTTCACTTTCATTACCATTGCGTGTTAGGGCATGGTTTTGGCGGAGGTCTGTGCTCTCTGAATTTCCTTCTAGTTTTATTATGTAGCTTAGTGAAAACCTGTTGGTGCAAGATTTCATTTGATGATTGTTATTTTTTGTATGAATCGTTACATTTATGACTCACTAGTAACATGTTATTTCAAGAACAGTTAGAGTTATTCACATCAGGGTGCGGACAACATGTTTTGTGTGTGTGTGTGTGTGTGTGTTTTTCTTTCAAAGAAGCTACTCCTTATTTAATGAACCTGTAAGAAAATGAATATTATATTATAAAATGATTAATGTTTGAAATTACCATTATGCATCTTGCTCAGTCACTATGATACCAGGAGTGACGAGTCAGCTAATGACGTTGTTGAAACTGACACTTGTCACTCATAAACATGGCATCAATTGTGTTGACCTTTTTACTTTTAACTGAACAGTTTCTCTTTTCCTGTCCATCGCCCGTAAAGACCCTTAAAATCTTGTTTTTGTTTTTTCCAATGCAGGGTTACAGGCTCTGCTAAAGACTCAAAGTGAAATAAGACCATAATATAGAAATATGTACATGCATGGTTTGACTAAAAGCAGAGAGAGAAAATAACATGGGAAGGGTTGTAAATAATGTGCCAGAGTTAGCATGGCTAGCATGCTAACAATGGGGTTCACTTTTTTATAATACAGTGTTATACAGCATTTGACTGTCAGTAACCTCTTTAATCTGCTGCTTGTGTTATTTCTCCATAAAGTGTATATTGTCTTGGGCTGTACACATTTGAGGGAAACAGAACAAAAACAGATAATAGAGTTTAGCTGCAGAGCAATACTTTTCAGAATCAGAATCAGAAATCCTTTATTAGTCACAGAGCGGGGACATTTACAGTGTTACAGCAAAAAGTGGCATAGCAGGTATAAAGAGACATGCATTAATAAAGAATAAGCTAACTTATTAAATGTAGAGAAGAGAAGAACACATTAGTTATAGAATACAAATAAAGACAAATCAAGTACACATCAATGGCTACAAATTATGAGCAATTTTACATTTAACCACAACTCATGGTAACAATAAAGAGAAAATATTAACCTGTATAAATGTATTAGAAGACTAAATAGTTAACATTTTAAGATTCGATCTCAACCATATCTTCCTATAGCTCTGAGAAGTTGTGAGAGGTGTTGCTTCTGTTTTTTGAATGTGTCAGACAGTCACACTGTGACACGCGTGTGCTGTTGGTGCATTTTCTCACCTCACAGTCTTCAAATAAAGGCTTTGCGCTTCTCTCCCACACAACAGACATTATTAGATTCCCTCTGTCATTTATTTTTCCCTAAAGTCCAGGTGTGTCTAGAGGTTTTTTTATTACAAGGCTTGCTGTGCAGTGAGATGACTGTGTACAGTTGCCAAGAGTAGAATTAACTTTACAAAACATATTGAAGGTAGAAAGAAAGGATAAGCAATATTTTCCCTGGGGAAATATGGCGTGTTATCCACTACCATGCTATATCATCCATTTGTATGAATCTTTTGTAGAGAACAGTGAAACCTCAACATACGCTGTGTTTATTTGTCAAGAGCATGTCACACATTGTCTTTTTAAATGTTTTGAAAGATAGTAAAATCAAGTCAAACTGTATTTCTATAGCAAATACAAAATAACCAAAAGTGAGAATCGATATTGCCCTGATATCATCATTTTGGAATACTTATGTTATATCGTGACAGCCTTAATCTGAAGTGGTCGTCAAGTAAAAATTCTGACCAAAGTATTTGGGATTCATCCTTGGATGTCTTTGAATAACTATCAGATTGTGTGGCGATCCATCCACTAGCTGCTGCGAGACTTCACTATGGCTCACTAAAGTCACAGTGTCAGCAGAACCACTTGGGTTTGCTCCAATAGGTCGCAGCTGAAGGCTCAAGCTTTGTTTGTTGGCTCACCCCTGTCCTTTCCTCCTGCTGTGTTTCAGAGCAAGGACATTGGGATCCAGATGCACGAAGAGCTGGTGAAGGTGACGAATGAACTCTACACTGTAAGTACTACACGTGTCTCCTCCTGATTGATCACTCACACTTTATCGCAGCACAAAGCTCATCCAGTTATTATTGCTCTCTCTGTCTTTCTCACATTTTATTTCACGTCTCTCTTTTTCGGTTCTCTTTTATTACCTTGCTTTGCACGTTATGAACTATTTCTTGAATGAATGAGTATTTTCTGCTTTTGAAACATTAGACTTTGGCCTGGGTGAACCTACCAAGTAAAGCAAATACGAGGCCCACTGTCACGGCCAATATGGCTGTGCTTAGCTCTGGAAGCACCAGTACCAAGAGTAGCGTTAGATTAAGTCTCATTAAAACACCACTGCCATCAGCCCACCTATTCGTGATATATACCAAGTTTACAGTTTATGAGGTACAACTAGCTGAAATGAATGCAGACAAATGCAACTGCCTTTAAATACATCTTAAATCTAAGTTTTGTCCAAAAGTGACAAGTGTGCAACCTCATGGTCATTTTGAAGCATGTCATTTGTGGTGCTGTCGAACTCTTTTCTGTTAAACTGAGAGGAGAAGCTCATGAGAGAGTTCTCCATAAGATATTTGAAAGGGACTTCTTATAAAGATAGTTTGTTTAAATGTACTCTATAGCTGCTGAGCACACAGGGGGTTAGGATGATGATTTATGTTGGTAAGTGAGAGAAAGATAGAGGCTGTTGTAAATGATGAAATGGAACATTACTTTCTCTCCAAGTTGGACAGTTTCTGGGCTTTGAGTCACTTCAACATCTGGTGGGTTCTTCAGCTCTGGTCCTGTTAAAGGGGCAGATGACTGGTTGTGTCTGTGGAGGCCTGTGAAATACCTGCATGCCTTAATACATGAAGGTATCGTCCTGTCAGAGTGTGTTTGCAGTTATTATTCATTTTAGGTCACCTGCTATAGCTCTGCTGCTTTGTTGCATTGGATGTCACCACTATGCTTTCCTCTTCGGAGAGTTACGATAGGGAGAGGTTTCTTTACTGGTACAATTTGTTTTCTTTATTTTTGTTTAAATGTCCTTCCGCTTCATTTTGAGATGGAGAAAAAAACATTGGAGAAAAAAGTAGTTCTTATTCATTTCTCTGAAAAGCAGATTTTTTTCCTCAGCTTTCTCGCAGCCCAAATAGCTGTTTCCCTTATTTTCAGCAATAACTCTCAGACATCCTGCAGCTGCTGCCCATACATTTTAATAAACACAAATTGCGAAATGTATGTATGTGTGGTTGATTCCCGTCATGCTTTATAGCCAAGATGTTTGGTTTTCAAAACATCTACAGTATATAACACTTTTAGAGGGCAGTATTTAAACATTGTCTCAGTTGGGTTTTTTTTTTTTTTAAATGGTAAAGCAGCATCATGGTATCCCCGATTTATTTTGACTTTGTGCCACTATTTCTAAAATCCTTCAAAATGTTCTATTTATTCAACACTAATTCAAAACTGAATTGTTAATAATGGGATTTCCTGCATGCAGGAAGCCTTGCAGATAGATGAACATATGTTGGGAATTAGGACATAATGTACTGGTACTGGTAGGATGAGTAGGAAGGAGGGTTCATGCCCACTTACTGGACAACTTCAGCAATCTTCTGCTCCCTGAGGTGGAACACAAGCGATGGCAGGGCTGCTTTATATTACTAAATCATCTGAGCAATGTGAGGAGAGTTCAACTGTTAAAGGCCACTGATGGCAATTCTCCTCGAGCTTGCAATCTGTACATTTTGATGTTGCAATAGATAAGTGTTATGGACAGCCAGGTATAATAATATAAAGGTATGAAAGAGCATATATTTAATTAGTGCATTTTAAAATAATTGTGTTTTAGGGTAAATAACTTCAAAGACTGACCGAGGTTGCTATACTTGACTTTATGTCTTAACTGTATATCAATTATAAGTATTGTTTCTGAAGGCTACGTCTGACAGAAATATGGTTTAGGTTTCAGGTTTATGAAATCCCATGGAAATATATTGTTATTATTCACCTTTTATACTTTTTTAAAATGTCTGTTTCACCCATTCTGCCCTCTCCGGCTCCGGCTGAGGACGATGCTGCATAATGAAACTCAGATGGTCCCTCTTATCATGCTCTACTTGGCCTCAGCTGCAATCTGGCTGAAAATTCTCTGAACATGAGGATTGTGTGAATTGTGGGAATCTTCACAGCTAAGAAAAGAAAATGATGATGGTTGCAACAACACAAAAATCACTTCCTCAAATTACAAGCTTCAGGCTGGACAAAAAAGCACCAACTGTACATTTTGACACTTTCTCAGACTTTTATTCCGTTTATTGACTTCTGTTTTAAGCATGACTTTGTTTCCATCATAACCTCTGACAAGGTTTAACAATGCACAGGCGGCAGAAAAGTTATTTCACAAATGACCCTCAGGCAGCAGTGATGTTCATTGTTGGAGGGGAATGAAGGATTGTTTTTCATGACTTCAACCTTGTTAGTATTTGTGCAGAAATAGCTGAATCAATAGCCTGGCCTCGTGGTGGTTGCCTTGTGGTATTTTGTAACCGTTTTCACAGGCTGCCAACCAATTCTATTCAAGGAAAACTGTGAAGTCCCATTAGGATCCCAGTCTGCTCAGTGAGAGGTAAACTGTTGGCTGAAGCTATTGTTCAAACGTAGTTTAAAGTATGGCGCTGCAGCGTGAGTATTCTTGAAATTGCAGAGCATGTTTTCATTATTTCGGCTTGTCAATAATAGCAAACCTGAGATGAGAAATATGAGCTAAAGCCCGTCACTTCCTGCTTCCAACAACATATATCGATGTGAAATTGAGTTTTCTTAGCTTGAAGCTGTTTTAATTTCCTGCTACACTGCCTTAATATCCCCACTGGGATCAATAAAGCTTATCTTATCTTTCTGGTCCCCCACCTTGTGTTGGTTGTTTGCTCCTCAGTCTTAAACACGCTTTTTCTTTTGTTAACAACATCAACAACCTCTCTCTAAGGCAGGGGTGTCAAACTAAATTTCATCGCGGGCCACATTCGCATAAAGGTTGCACTCAAAGGACCGGTTGTAACTATATAAATATATAATATATATATAAAATAATGTATTATATATTACATTATTGTCTCTGAATTGGATTATTATCGGATAGGATAATAACTTAGTAATTAACTACGTCTGAAAGCAGAAGTCCAGGGTAAATAATTGCAAGTCTCTTCAGTGCGCATGTCACAAAACGAGATGCATTGTGGGACATGTAGTTTATGGGCAACCTGCTTCTGTAAAGTGTCATGTAACCGTATAATAAACGCATTATATTCTTTGCAAGCTCTTGCGGGGCCACATAAAATGAAGTCGCGGGCCGGATTTGGCCCCCGGGCCTTGAGTTTGAGACCCCTGCTCTAAGGGCTGGTGCTGGTTAGATTCATTTATTTCGTCAGTTGTAGTTCATTCCTCAGGGATATATTTAACAACATTTACTCACACCATGTTAGTGCTGAAAAAAACACAAAATTATTGAAGCTGCTGCATATTTGGGAAAAACAACATCACAGATGTATTTGATGCATTGTTGGTCTCTTCTTACATTTACGTTTTCCAATTGTTTTCATCCTTGCTAATGCTTCACACACGATATACTATACAGATTATGTTGTGACATTTGGAAATCACATTGTTGCATCTCGCTTTTTTCAAACATTAATCTTAATGTATCAGTCAGTTTTTTATATTTAAGTTGCATATTTGTACATGACATTGTTACAATACAAACGCTTTTTAATTAAAGGTGGGGTAGGTAATTTTGGAGAAACCAGCTCGAGTGCGCTAGAATTTGAAAATGCACAACCGGAAAAAATCTGCCACTTCCTTACAGAGCCCCTCCTCCAACACACACGAACGCGCACATGACCAATGAGGGCACGAGATAAGTTTGTGCACAGATGGAAGGCTGACAGGCAGGTAGGCCATCCAGTTACTTTAGCCGGGCCGGCTAAAATGATTGGTCGTGCTTTTTACAGTACTACGGCTTCTACAGATGAATTTTTTCGTATGGATTTTTTGTCAAAGCATTTAATATATTCATTGCTATCGGGATGTGAAGAGCATTCCATGGAATATAACAAAAAGTGTATTTCAATCCGGTTTCTCAAACTTACCTACCCTACCTTTAATTAAGTGTTCAGAGAGAAGAATACAAATAAGGAAAGACAACAAAGGTCCAGTCAAACGCAAACGAGCGACTTAGTGATTACTCATGGTCTTTCCTAGAATATTTAGATATCAGTAAAATAGAAGTATGTGCTTTTTGCCTTGCATTCATTATGAAAAACTCCAGGCATCCTTTCACTGTTGGGTCTCTTTTACCAGCACACAGACTGCAGGAGTTAAATAGCCCTAAGCAGATGACTCAACTATTCACACACCTCCTGTAGACACAGCTGAACTCAGTCTTCCTGCAAATTAGTTTGTGTCTCTAGCTGCCGGTCCTGTAGTCAGATGGTTCAATGTAAATGTAGCACATTTTAAGAGAAATGTAAAATAAATGGTGCTAAAGCCTGGGGAGGAACAGGGTGTTAGCCTAGTTTCTCTCTTGGCGGAGTAGCAACAACGATGTTGAGCTTTATCTCTCTCAGAATAGACCACTGGCTTTCATTTTATCTATTTATTTTACTTTCGGGTGTTTGCCTAGCAGCTCTTTGTCACTCTGTTGTTCTTGTTTTTCTAAGATTTCCTGCACTGCCTGGAGAGGAAAACTATTTATTCACACATCACACAAAGGGGAATAAATAGAGCCTCTTAAAGTGGCAGTAATGATAAATATACTGTCGCAGGGTTGAAGGTCTGTGGAAGATTATAGTTGTGAGTGACCCAACGGCAAACACCTGATGTTGATGAATAGCTCTCAGAGTTAAAAGGAACCCCACTGCTTAAGTTTAGCACCAAGTGAGCATTACTTACTTGAACACAGGAAACACATAAATTACTGTTTATGTTGACTGTCCAACATCCTGAGGTGTTCAATGAGATTTCTGAATGTTTGAGGCATTTGAAGACATGCTCACATCTGGACAGTCCTTTACGAGGCTTAAGACTGGGCTTCCAAAAGGAAAAACTCCCAATGAGCATCTGGGATGGGTTAAAGACGCAGGGTGCTTCTGTCTTCTATAATGAAGGTTTTCAGTCACCACAGTCTTGTCATCATAATGTTGGAGTGTGGTAGGGGGGCTGAATTTCATGTTCAGTGTGTAAGTAGAGATCAAAGTGGAGAGGTAACTGCAGAGAAAACCGAAAATACTACTGTCACTTTGCTGCACAAAAAAAAGATGAAGATGAAGAACTCTGTTGTGAAGATGAGTTGCAGTAGATATGATGTAGAGGCTCTGGAAAGCCAGAGTGAGGAGGGGATGAGGTGGTGAGTTGAAGATTTGACAGCCAAGGCTACACCACACACAGCCCCACTGGGCCTTGGATTAAGTTAAAAATATTCCACATAGTGACATCTGTGTTAGCGCTGCTTCGACGCCCAAATTGATCCACCAGGCCACCATGAAAACGCTCAAGCCAAGCCAGTTTTTTAAAGGAAATGACACTAGAGACGTGGAAAATATGATCTTTTATTTGTATCTCATTATGTTGGTTGCATGCTGAAGGGAATATGGCATTATTAACACAAACAGTAATGCTGTTGTTACTCAATTAGGGCACTTTGTCCTGGAAAGAAACAATATATTGTTTATATTGAAGTATATTCTTAAAGTTTCTGTTGGTTTCAGCTGTTACACAGATTAAGGACTTAATACTGGTGTTGGCTTTCTTCTTATGATTTCAGCAATCAAACCCTTCTTCTGTGCACATAGCCCGAGTCTATACTTATTCATTAACGTATATTAGTGTTTGTTTTAGCAGTAAAATAAAATCACATTCTGAATTTGTTTAGAGCCCCTGGTGATGTCTTCAATTAACCTGTTTTGTCTGATTAACTACTCAAAACCCAAATCTTTTAACGTCATACTGTATATGAGAAATAAAAGCCATAAATACTTACATTTGATGAGTAGAAACCCAAGAACGTTTGGAATTTTGTATTGAAAAATGACTGAAATTATGAATAGATTATCAAAATAGTTCCCAATGTATTAATGTTCAATTTGACTCATCAGTATTACTTTATTGTTGCAGCTCTTTTTTTGATATACAGCTTTGATTTCAATGTACCACGCTAAGCAATTGTTTCCCATACCGTATTTTCGCTTTTCCCAGTCTGTGGGCTACTCAATGTGCTTTTTTAAAACCAATATGTCCTCTGATTATGTCTTAAAGGGGACCTATCATGCTAAATGCACTTTGTGATGTCTTTTATACATACATATGTGTCCCCGGTGCGTCGGGGAACTCACGCAGCGTCAGAAAATAAAACCCTCTCTCTTTTCCTCCGTACCCAAATCTTTTTAAAATGGGGGTACAACGAGCGGATACAGATTCCATCCGAACTGACGTCAAATCGGCAGCGGACCCACAGAAAGTTGCTATCAGAAACAATTCATGACGTGTTTTGGACGTCTTTGTTTACATTAGCAAGCCTTGCTAACACTCAGAGCTAACCTGTACCGAAGAGCACATGTGTTTTAAAAAGCAGGATATAAAAAAAGAACTCACCTTGTGATAAACCTGCAAGAGAAAAAGCTTTTGAGCTCCATACTGTTTCAGAAATAATCCTTGACGTGGTTTAAACAGGATGGCGTTTTATCACAACCGAATTTAACTTTATCTCCGGATTCTGATCAGGCATTAGCTCCGCCTCCTCTTCTTTTCTTTGTTTCAAGCTAAGGACCCAAGATCCGCGTTTCTCTAACAGGGCTTCAAAAGAGGGGTACAATGGCTACAATGGGTGAACTGTTTGGTATTTTGAAAAAAAAACTTCACAGACATGTTTTGTATAGGTTTTGTATAGGCCCTACAATATATGTTTCAAATATAGCATGAATCATGCTATATTTGAAACATATATTGTAGGGCCTACCTATCATGCTGCATGATAGGTCCTCTTTAAGTTAACATGTAAACTGACAGCAACTGAAAAGCATCTGTTATGTGATGATCATCAGCCCTGTTATTGGTCAATCTGAATGTCTGTTATCCTCCTGCTGCAGGTGATGAAAACATACCACATGTACCACACTGAGAGCATCAGTGCAGAGAGCAAGCTGAAGGATGCTGAGAAGCAGGAGGAGAAGCAGTTCAGCAAGTCCGGAGATCTCAACGTTAACCTCCTGCGCCACGAGGACCGCCAACCAAGACGCAGCTTTGTCAGGAAAATAGAAAAGATAAAAGAGAAGGTGAGTCTAAGGGATGTTAAGGTTTTCGTTAATTTAGCTTCAATTTAAAAATACTGAACCATTAAATGGGTATTTAATTGAAATGTGAAAGGGGGAACCCACAGAGAATTAACATTGAATCTGCAGTTTCTCTCAGCTTGGTTATGTTCGCTAATTGTTTGGTTTTCAGGCCCTTAACACTGTCACTACTCTCTGTCATGTGTGGCCAAAGCAGGCAGCTGTATTGATAAAAGAGTCAGATATTGCCCTCAGGAGTTAGTAAAGGCCTAGAATTGCATTTGCCAAGTGGTCAGAAACTGGACAGAGGATGAATGACAATGTTGCACCATGTCTGCTGGAAGCATGCTAACAAGTTGAACATATCAACTTTAAGCATGAAAATATGTAAGTGTTATTTTAGTTTGTTGCATGTTAAGCAGCTCCTTCTCAAAGCCAAATTAGTAGGTGTGAGGACTTTACTTCTGTAAATGGAGCTCTTTCTTAAGGTTATTTGAGTGAGTGAAGGACACACCACGAACAGGCAGCAATAACATTTCAAAAAGTCTCAGTAGGATCCTATAGGACTGCAGCCAGATACACACTGAGAAAATAGCAGCCAACAATCCAACTGTCTTTTCATCTTATGGAGATTTCCACTTGTTTAAAATCTTCTCTTCCAGCAGTGTAAGGCTGGTGGCCTCTGGAGCATAATGTACTTCAGATGCTCCCATGCATGTTTTACTTTGGATCTTCTCCCAGAATTTTTCTATGCAAATGAAACCCCCATCATCTCTCAGGTGCAGGAAATGAAAAGGCTGTCAGGAAGACGGCATCTCTCCCGCCGCAGGCTGAACTGAACACTATTTATAATGCAAAGTGGCAATGAAAGTTGTTTCCTGCTTCTCGTTTCCAAGCTTCTGTCTCAGTACTCTGCCTGCAAACAGGTTGGAGTAGAAATAGCAAGAAAGTTCATCTATCTTCCTCTCAACCACTGCTGACATTTGCATCATAATGGCTCTGTTCAATTGGAAACAAAATGACCATGTGGAATGAAATGAACAAACAAACTATTCAAATAATGGGCAAAATGTCTCTGCTCAAAAATGATTATGCTTGTGTTGTATTACAAACTACAGTATTGCCTTTCTGAGTCACTCAATTGTTGAGTTGCTAAAGGGAAACTACTTTGTCAAAACTGTTAAGCACACATTTGCAAAATCAATATGTTTTGTTCTATTCAGAGCAATAGTTACTTAATGGAAAATGCTGTCATTTGTCTTTATTCTAGAACAGGAGAAGTACAATTGTGCAAATGCATTGCTAAATTCAAACTAGAGACACAGTCCCACATTTAGCCAACCATAAATTAAGAGTTAGAGTTGAAGAAACAAATTGAGCTAACCGGCAGATGGTTACGTTAAGCCTAGCATAAAGAGGGGAGGGGTCTAACTAGCATGAGTCCAAACACAATATTGTTGTTTTTACAATTGTTTTTTTCTATTGAACAAATAATATATGACATGTTTGAGAAGCTGGTAGCTGGATTCTATTACCATTAGAAAAAGGCAGGCTAGCTGTTTCACTCTCTTTATGAAAGCTAAGCTAATCAGCTGCTGGCCCCAGCTTCATTTCACTTAGTGAAGCCAGAGTCTCTTTAAGTGCTCCCCTGTGAGCATCCACAGTCTGCAGTCTGTGCTACTTAAGTGTTTGGAGACGGAATAATGACTAAAAGCCTGGCTGTGGCACTTAACACTTACTATCTGAGTTTCTCCACAGCCTGTTTCTCCAAACTTTCCCTGCCATCTCTACCTGTCTGATGGTCCCAAAGCTGCAGCTGACTGAGCACACACTCAAACCCCCCCCCCCCCTCCTACACTGATGTTGTTTCTTCTCATCTGCTCCGTCTCTTCTCTCCTCCCCAGAGGCAAGCAAAGTATTCAGAGAACAAGCTGAAATGCACAAAAGCCCGGAATGACTATTTGTTGAACCTGGCAGCAACAAATGCTGTAGTGGCGAAATATTACATCCATGACGTCTCTGATATGATTGATGTAAGTATGCGCTGGGCACATGTGTTTGTTTACATCTCTCAGCTGGGATTTTTAATGTTGATTTAACTCTGCAGCACTGTCACTTTTCTCACCATCTGTTCCCGAGTCTCATTCACTCTCAGCCTGTTAGCTGTTTGCTTTCAAGCTGCTCTGTCGCCCCACTGAATGTTATGCCATCATTTTTTCATTATTAAGTCCTGCAAAACAAACTAAACACTGACTGCTGTTGACATGAATCAGCAATCTGCAGTAACACACAGCTCCAGGAAGATTATATTTGACAAATTATTTAGAGGGACTCCATCAGTGTTGACTCCTTCGTCTCATACTCATTAATTTATTTTTGTCGATGCTGCTTTCGGGAGCTTTGCCGGAACAAACACAGCATGTCCTTGTGATTGTCTGCCTCTGACTGTCACCAAGTAAAAAACACGGCCCATGACACACGCAGTCTGTCTCTATTGTTTGGCCTTCTGTTGTCTCTCCTTTCATGGATCAGAGTAGAGGAACAGCCTTTGTAACTATGACACTATAATATTCCCTTCAATATAACTTTCAATAATGTCCCCATTTGTGTTTGTCCAGAGAACCTAATAAATGAAGTCACTATTATTCAAATGATGAACCAGTAGCACAGCTGGAAGGTCTGATTACCAGGGTTTAATAGGGTGCATGTTGAGAAAACCACTAATGCTTGGAAGTCGATCAGAGTCAGCTGGTGAGCAGAGGCTGTGTTAATGCAGCCATGAATGCGGTTAATGTGGCTGGCACAGAGCTCTCAGCCCCAGGTGACCTGCTACCCTGCAGACAAACAGATGAACATTAAGATGGGAAAGCCTTTATTGACCATTTACATTTTTTTAACATTCTGTATTTATTTATTTAGTGCACATATCCCTATTCAGGGAGGTTGGACTTTGGGACTTCATTTGCTATTTAATTCTATTCTCAATAAATATTTGATTGTCTGCTTTTGTTGTGCAACAAAAAAGGGCACCCACTGTTGACTGCTTTCTATTGAGTTTTTCCCATCCCAAACTGACATTTTCCTTATTTACTGTTTGGGTTGTGCTGCTAGCTATTGTAGACTCTGTAATTGGATTTGGTAGTTGTGAAGCAAATTCGTTGTTTTCTAAAATTAAACTTTCTGTGTTATTTTCCACATGAAGACAATCTTTCATATCAGGCCTATGTTGCAGAGTTTAAATGACACATGGCAGTATATGTGGGCTTTGTTGCCGACAATACCAAACACAACACTAATATTTCTATCAATATAAACCTTTCAGCCCTTTAATGTTTCCCTTCTGCTTCTCACATTTTTGCTTGAGGGCCGACCACCATACGGAGTCACAATGATGACATTTTCCAGGTCAGGCATGATTCAGGCATATGATTTTAGTGAGAATTCTACATTTTAATGAACGCTATTCGAAACAAATTGCAGTTGAAATGGAATGCAGAGTATGTCTCTGCTGTATGCAGTGCGATGGTGGTATGTTGTTTTGTAAGTGGACATACAAAGATTTCCCTGCCTCTTTGCTGAGCAGCTGTGATGGATCCAGTCTCTTGAAACTGAAAGGTCCATGTCGTACCAAATCCTGCTGAGCTGCAGGGAATAGGATTGTGAGCTTGACTGGTTTGGCTGCCACAAGCGGCGCAGAGGTTTGTCGTGTCAGAGTAACTGCACACCACACATCAAACCAGACGCTCACGCAGCAAGAAGTCAGATTTGTCAGTCAGCATCAGAGACTTTAAACTGTTAAAGTGTAATTTGGACAACATGTGGAGCTTATTCTTTACTGCCGGGAGCTGATGAATGCTGTGAAGAGGGAGTTTGGTCAGTGGTGTCAACTTGATACATTATTTAAAATTCTGCTTGGAAATAAGCTTAACATGACTTTAATTACCTCCATTGAGGAATGCAATTCTTGCAGCAGCTTGAAGTAGACTAAGATATACAGCAAGGAAAAAAGAATAACACAATAATTCAGTACATTTTGGTTTTGCATACATATCATCTATTGTGGGGCCAACTGCCCAACTGCGTTTAAATTTAGTAATTGTATCATGTTTGAGTTTTTTTTGCTGAGGGTGAAATAACTTGAATATAACTTTATTAACCAAATTAAAGACAGCCCTTAATTTAAACATGAATGAGAAGCATGTTAAACAAATGACACATATTTGCAAATAATAACATGCAGCCGGAATATAATATGTCCTATGTTTGCATAGCTCTAATGAGAAAGAAAAGACATATTAAAAAAGGAAATTGGTCAACAGTTTCAAGAGTGTATCTAATCTTCCCGCTTCCTTCAGGCCGCCACTGCAGTTATGAATGTATTTTGACTCAGTTTACTTGTTTAAAATAAGCTAATTGGCTGCCTTTTAGTCTTTAGTCTATTGACTAAGTGGTGCAATGATGCTTGTGCACCAAAGTAGAGACTTCTTCCTCGGTCCTCTGGAGTGTTAGAGTGTTTACTTAGTCATTCACAGAGCTGTCAGCTGCCTCAAGCTCGCTCTAAACCTCCTCACTACCATCGTCTGCTTAATGAGGTTACTTCATCCAGCTCTGTGTGATAAGACTCTGTAATTATCCCTACTGTCCTACTGTGCTAGCTCCTGTAATTCTGTGAACTCTACTTCTATTTTAGAACGGTAACAAGTAGCAGGATGTAATTTGGAATTTAGTTCATTAAATAGGTCTGAACATGATGGAAAGTGCTCAAGCTAACATACTTTTCAACTTAACCTGTGCACATTCTTCCACATTCCCTGAAATATTTAATACGATATTTGCTTTATCTCCACAGTGCTGTGACCTGGGCTACCATGCTAGCCTTGCACGCACTCTCAGGACCTACTTATCTGCCGAGTACAACTTGGAGACATCACGCCATGAGGGACTGGATATCATAGAGAATGCAGTAGACAACCTGGATAACCGCAGTGACAAGCACAAGATCATGGATATGCATAACCAGGTGTTCTGCCCTCCAATGCGCTTTGACTACCTGCCACACATGGGAGATGAGGTGAGATTCTTTAGCCATCAGGCTGCACAACAAGGGGTCAACAATGTAACACACAAACATCAAATATACACTGTTTTTCACAATAACTTTACTGGCACATAGTATTTTAAAGTTAATTTGATCTTTAATTTGATCTGTGTGAATCTGTGCCGTCCTGTTTTCTTACCTTACCCTGTTGCTGTTTAAAACTGATTAATTTCTCCACGGGGATTAATAAAGGTCCATCTTATCTTATCTTAATATTGAGTTTTAAAAAGTGTCTATTAAGGTCTCAGATGGATCAGTTATGTCTCTTGTAACCCTCCTCATCCTCCTCAGGTGTGCCAGGTGAGCGCCCAGCAGCCGGTCCAGACTGAACTCCTGATGCGCTACCACCAGCTGCAATCTCGCTTAACTACGCTGAAGATTGAGAATGAGGAGGTGAGGATTTATGATGTCCCTGTTTTTGTCCAGCGTCCAATCCAGCACCTCCTTTAGCCCCACCCCCCAAAAAACAAAAAGCCCGGCTCATTTCCCCCAGAGCCAAGTAGGAGGGCCACATCACCATCTGTTCTCTTTGCAATTACTCTCCAATGACCTTTGCTCTGCGGGAGGCAATAATATATTAAGATCATCACAGCACCAATGTTATGTTTTCTATGAAGTTATATATAAAATGGTCTGTTTTGTAATGAAAATGGGACTTTTTCATTAAAAGCCGCAGAGACAAATATGCAAATGGAGGTTATAATAACCTGGCCATGTAGAGTCTTCTGTGCCAATGGCTCTGCCTCTTCCCTGTCTCCCCGTGTTTTGTGCTTCGGAGGATAATGGACGAGCGCTGCCATTACTGTGAATGAGCTTTATCAATCTCAGCCCTAAACAAAAAGCCTCCTTCAGTAATTTCACATACAATTTGTTTCTGTGCCAGGCGCGCTTCATTTTTATGTCTTAGTCTGATGTATGCCTGATGTGCAGGTTGCTCTGGAGTGATATTTGAAGGCTGCTTGATGTCATTTCAGTGTAATTCAAGGTCATTTGTTGTTCTGGGGACAATTTGTCTTTGATATAAATATACTAGTGCTGTAAATCACTCACTCTGCCCTTGAAAAGATCATCAGTTTCTTTGGTTACATCAAGGCTTGTGAATAAATAGCTACAAAAAGGAAAATATGTGCAAGACATATTGGTAAGATATGATGACCATTTGTCATCTTCGTCCCTTTCTATTTCCCCCCCATCTGTGCAGGTGAGAAAGACCTTGGATGCCACCATGCAGACGCTGCAGGACATGCTGACGGTAGAGGACTTTGACGTGTCGGATGCCTTCCAACACAGCCGCTCCACTGAATCCATTAAGTCCGTGGCCTCCGAGTCCTACATGAGCAAGCTGAATGTAGCCAAGAGGAGGTCGAACCAACACGAGACTGAAATGTTTTACTTTTCTGTGAGTTCATGTGGATTTCGATCTGTTTATCCTTCCGAACTGTTAATGTCCGCCAGCCTGCTATGAACTACAGCTTTGCAGCACTTTTAAAAATCAAACCATTAGTCATAATTTCAACATGTTTAAAAATAAGAATTAAATTAAAGCTGGAACAGATTGAATTTATGCTGATTTGAATTGTTTAACTGGGCTAATGTAACACTGGATTAGTGCTGCTCGCTGATTGTTGCCTTTATCGGTCTCTGCAGAAATTCAAGGAGTACCTCAACGGCAGTAACCTCATCATTAAGTTGCAGGCCAAGCATGACTTACTGAAGCAGACGCTGGGCGAAGGTAGGGGATATTCTCCGTTTGTCTTCCTCTATGACCCTCAGAATCCCACAGCTCTGTTAAATCAGTGCCTTCAGGGTTATAGTGGTGCAGGTCTTATCTAAAAATCAGCATGGAATGAGGTGTAGGAGGCTTCAAAGACAACATTTTTTAGGGAAGCAGGAAGGAGAGAGGAAATGAGAGCTGATATTCAAATGGGAAACTATCACACCAAAAGCAGGCCACATCTACTTTGAGCTATCCATTCCCCCTTCTACTTATCTCCATTGGTTGAAGTATTATCCGGTTAGTGTCTTTATGGTAAAGCCGCAGGGAGGGTTTCCATTTCCAGCCTGTGAGAGAAGGGCTTCCCTCGGCCCCTCCCTTCCCCAGGGGTCCCCTTGTCACCTCAGCCGTGAACAGTTTACCCCCAATCAATCAGCAGGACCAGACCCAGGCCCGTTTCTGCAGCTGCTCCTGCATCAGGGGTTCACCTTATAGAAAAGGGCATCAGGCACAGACAGCTGAGGCCTTGTGACACTAATGAATACTTCTACATTTCACACCTTGGATTCATTAATTCAAGTCTTTACTTAATTATTTATTTTCCTTTATTCACTCTGTAGTAAACTACCAACTGAATGCTTTTTGCACTCTTAAAACTCACATTATACATCTCTGGACAGCTCTGTTTGTATGTCCGCAGTGGAGCAGGTGATAGAGTGCATAAACAAGGCATATGGCGTCTCTAGGTACCACCCATGTTTAATTATTCAGATGATCAATCAGGGTTGTGTTGTGCTCATTAGCTTGTCGTTTCACAACCAAAATAGCGTTAGAGTATGCGTGTGGTTGTTTGTGAGCATGACAGAGGGAACAAGATATGACTGGTGAGTGCCACATGGCGTTCACATCTTGCTGCATGTATTAATAAAAACATTATATAAATCACCGGCACCAGTCAAGATGGTGCTAGGATATATGCCAGGCCTTGTTTCCAAATAAGGAATCACCATTTCCCTTGTTCAGCGACATTTATTGGTACATATTTTAAGTTGATGTAATACGTATTTCTCTATCATTGAGGCACTTTATTTGATGAAATTAGGGGAACATTAACATAGACTTTTTTGATCATGCTTGAGAAAATGTGTGTGTAATTTTGAGGTTGGTTGGCCAGGCGTAGACAGAGGCTATCACTCAAAGGAATGGTGCCTGGGAAATGTGCTGTTGTTTCTCCACATGAATGCTTCAGAGACCCTGTCCCATCTGCCAGAATGATGTGTTGAGAAATGGGTTTGCCTTTGCTCTTTCTGTCCATTGTTAGATGGATAAGAGATGAAATTATGTCTGAGTGCTTTTTTGTACATTGACTGCCTTCCAGTTCATAATCCAGTTGTCACTGCCGGACAAAGACACACTCCTACTCTGAGTTCATAAAGACAAGCTAGGTCATCTTTCAATTAACCTAAGACCAAAGGACTGTGTTATCAGTTGAAACATATTTTTGACATATTCCTAAATAAGTCAAGAACAATATAGCTGAATTTAATTATGACCTCAGACTGTATCAGAGTTTTCTCTATACATATGCCTATAACATGTGCGTGTATTGTTGGAAACTGATAACAAAAGACTCGGTGAACCAGTGCAGACTTCCCCAACAAATAGACACTGCAGCCGCAACCCCCCCTTTTCTTCGCTCTGCGAGGAGGCCTCTAACCCCATAGGGTCCTCTCGGTCCCCTGTGGATTCAGTGACGACTGCTCAATAGCTTTGTCCAATGAATGGTGTTAGCACTGCTCCATTCATCTCTCTCTCAATAGTCATGTTGTGTACCATCAAACCATTCAGTGACGGTGGACACTGGAGTCTGTATAATATGTACCACAGTGACAAACATGTCCCTCTTGTCTTGTTTTTTCCGCAGGGGAAAGGGCTGAGTGTGGAACTACAAGGTATGGTGTCCTTTGACTTTCACTCACAAAGCATCTGTAGCATTTCTTCAGATAGCTAGAACATATAAAAAAGGAAGACAAAAGCATGTCAGCTGTTGTTTGAACACTCCAATCGATATAAACATTTTAAAATAATTATATAAATAATTTCAAAACATCAATAATTATAATTTTTTTTTATATTTAACTAAATATAATGGCAACATTGCAGTCAATACATATCAAGCAACATCTCTAAACAAAGGCCATGCTCAGTTTGTTTACAGACAAAAAAATTAAAGTTTTCTTTTACTTTCACTTTAAAAATATCCAATATTGTGGTTCCAAAAATGTTACACTGAATTTGTCAAAAGAAAGAGAGTTTACATATGCACTCATGATTTTATATGGTTAAATCTCTAGTAAAAGATAAAAGGCGATTGTTTTTCAAAAGTTTCTTTATAACACAGAGGGTTGTTTTACTGCTCTGTTTGATCGACGGTTTTGGAGATTTGTAATGCCTGAGTTTGAGCCTCCATGGTTTTAAAGTTTTTCACAAAGTATTTGGTGTTTTTGTACCCTTTGTCCACCATTTCACAGGCCGCCCACACTTCCCCCTAAACCACAGAAATTGCGGAAGCCTAGGCCACGCTCTTCGTATAACCATAAGCTGTTTAACGGCAATATGGAGACCTTCATTGAGGTACCTCTGGTGGTAGTGTATGACTGTGGAGCAGGAGGGGAAGGCAGCAAGATGATTTCATCTTATTCTCTTCCTAACTTTGGCCTTCTATCCCTCCCTCTTCCAGCTGCCCTTGATTATGATATAACGCCTCTGTTTAACCTCTAATCTTCCTCGTTCCTTCATGGTTGTGGCAATGCAGCGACAGTCAGCTCTCTCTTTATACCCTTCCAGAACAACTCACCATCTCATACTTTATTTCTAGACCCCTGACTCTCTCTAGACGATTGAGAGGCAGCAGTGGATCTGCTCTGTCCCTCACTGCACCCACCAACCCTTTACTGCATCTCTGTAGCTTTCCTATTGCCGCTCGCTGTGCTTAGCCTTCTTTAACCTCCAGAGGGGTCATTTGTTATCTGAGCTTTTCTAACTCTGTGCTTCTCTGCCCTCTCTTCCTCTGCTACTCTGTGCTTTGCGGCTTTCTGTCCCAGAGGAAGAAGGAATGCCCGCGCCCGCATTCAGGTACCGCTGCTGTTAGAGAGTATAGGTCAGGGCACAAGGGCACTAAACTTTTAGACTAATGGTAGATATATACTGGCTTCTGCTTGGGCTGCTCTATCATACTGCTTCGGGTTTTATTCAAACATTTAATATTAATAACAGTTGCTTGTATTTTGGATGTTTATTTTTCTTTGTTTAGCAGTGCTCATGATTTGCTTAATACATGTTAAACAAGTTTGTGATGAAATGGAGCAAGATACTTGTATATGTTTAGTATGAACTAGAACTAGATTTGCATGCATTGATAAGTGAATATTGCGACATGATTAATTATTCAGTGTCTAAATATAGAACATTCCGAAATCGTACAGTCAAAAATTGCGCTGTATAAAGTTTTCACAAAATAATATATGTTTTGCTTTACTTTGTCCTGCTTTTTGCTTGTTTTTTTTAATTTTTTATACAATATTTCATTTCAGGATTCTGGTCAACCAATCCCACTGGTTGTTGAAAGCTGTGTAAGACACATCAACCTATACGGTGAGTTTTACATTATTTTGCTGTGACTTTACTTTCGAGCGAAAGGGCAGAAAGGAAAGCAAAATATAAAGTCCTTTTGAAAACTCCTTCAGCCTGATAAGAAGTGACAGCAGCTGTTGGATGAGGCAATCTATTTCCACAAATAGGTACAGAGCCTGACCTGCTCTGCACCTCCAGCCTCTGAGGTGCTCAGCTGCCTGCCAGTGAAGTGACAAGCTTATAACAATAGATCACACACATAGAGTTTTGAAAGTCCCATTGGTCTTGGTTTAGTTAGTTCACCCCCCACCCCCCTCAACCCTTTTTATAACTCCTCCCTGTCTACCTTCACATCTGTCTTCAGCTCATTGCTGTGGCCTGGAGGCCTTTCCCCTGGATCTGGACCTAATGAAACTACAGAAAACTGATTAGGAACCCTTTAACTGAAACCATATGCTGCAGCCTCACTGAGGGGCCCTCTGGTGGAAAAATACGCATCTCCCTTTATGACTAGATTACATTTCCTGCTCTGTGTTATGTGTTTCCAGTGGGCTTTCATGAAGCTGGCACTGGGGTTTGAAGATAATGGTAGCTTGCGTAACCCTGAATCCCCAATTTCTGGGTTGTATTTCTTTCAGGCTTGCAGCAGCAAGGCATATTTCGTGTGCCGGGTTCACAGGTGGAAGTCAATGACATTAAGAACTCATTTGAGAGGGGTGAGTCAAAGGAAGACAGCGTTCACATACACTTTTTTAACGTCACAAATCATGTGCAGCATAAACCCATCTAATGTCACAAATGAAAGCATGCATATTTTTCTAAATCAGGTGAAGATCCCTTGGTTGATGACCAGAATGACCATGATATCAACTCAGTGGCGGGGGTGCTGAAGCTCTACTTCAGGGGACTGGAGAACCCCATCTTCCCAAAGGAGCGCTTCCTGGACTTCATCTCTACTATCAGTGAGTCACACACAGCAGAACATATCCTTGATCTCATATTCTCAAGGAACTGCTCTACTTCTAACCTCTCTGTAAACCCGCTCCACACATCCGATCACTTCTTCATTTCATTCTCTCTACCAATTTCCAAACATAACAAACTAATCTCTTCCCATCCTGCACCTGTCCGCCGTAACCTTCGTTCCCTCTCCCCCTCCACCTTTGCCTCATCGGTGCTCTCAGCCCTCCCTTCCTCTGACTCGTTCCAACTCCTACCTCCAAACTCTGCTGCAGAAACTCTCCTCTCTACTCTCTCATCCTCTCTGGACTCTCTCTGTCCTCTCACATCTCGGCAGGCTCGTCAGTCCCCTCCTGCTCCCTGGCTAAATGATGCACTGCGTGCTAATATAACCGTCCTTCGGGCAGCAGAGCGGAAATGGTGGAAATCCAAACACCGTGACCACCTCCTAACCTATCAGGCTCTCCTCTCCTCTTTCTCTGCTTCGATCTCTCAGGCAAAAAGCACTTTCTTTCAAGATAAGATCCAATCTTCCTATTCCAATCCCAAAAAACTATTTTCCATCTTCTCCTCCCTCTTGGACCCCCCCAAAGCCCCTTCCCCCTCCTCCCTTCTGTCAAGCGACTTTGTTAACCACTTTGAAAAAAAGGTTGATGATATTCGCTCTTCTTTTTCTGACTCACCTTTACTCACCGCTGGGTCACCAGACCTTCCTTTCACCAACACACTGACCTCCTTTTCCCCTCTCTCTCCAAGTGAGGTTCTTACCCTCATTACCTCTGCCCGCCCTACCACCTGTCCTCTGGACCCTATCCCTTCAAACCTCCTTCAGACTATCGCTCCTGATATTCTACCGTTTCTCACCCATTTCATCAACACTTCTCTAACTTATGGTCACTTTCCAAACAGTCTCAAGGAGGCAAGAGTAAACCCTCTCCTAAAGAAACCCACTCTCAACCCGTCTGATGTTATAAACTACAGGCCTGTCTCTCTCCTCCCGTTCCTGTCTAAAACACTTGAACGCGCTGTCTTTAGACAACTCTCCTGTTATCTCCATCAGAACAACCTTCTGGATCCGCACCAGTCTGGTTTCAAGGCAGGTCACTCCACAGAAACTGCCCTCCTTGCTGTCATCTGAAACTCCAAGTGCTTGGAGAGTGCGAAGGAGGATCTGATGATTCACCGTGTCGAATGCAGCAGACAGGTCCAAAAGGATGATGACAGAGGAGAGGAGAGCACACTGCTAAAGCAGCCTCCCTCTCCTCTGTCATCATCCTGTTGGACCTGTCTGCTGCATTCGACACGGTGAATCATCAGATCCTCCTTCGCACTCTCCAAGCACTTGGAGTTTCAGGCTCTGCACTTTCCCTCCTCACCTCATACCTCAAAGACCGCACCTACAGGGTTACTTGGAGAGGGTCCGAGTCCGACCCTTGTCAATTAACTACAGGGGTCCCTCAGGGCTCTGTTCTTGGTCCCCTCCTCTTCTCCTTGTACACAAACTCGCTCGGATCAGTCATTAGCCCGCATGGTTTTTCATACCACTGCTACGCTGACGACACCCAATTAATTCTGTCCTTTCCAGAATGCAGCTGCTCGCCTGGTCTTCAACCTTCCTAAATTCTCCCACACCACGCCGCTCCTCCGCTGCCTTCACTGGCTTCCGATAACTGCTAGAATCCACTTCAAGACAATGGTACTTGCGTACCATGCTGTGAATGGATCTGGCCCTTCCTACATCCAGGACATGGTTAAACCGTACACCCCAGCACGTGCACTCCGCTCTGCATCAACCAAACGGCTCGCTGCACCCTCGCTGCGAAGGGGACCCAAGTTCCCATCAGCAAAAACATGTGGGTTTGCTATCCTGGCTCCTAAATGGTGGAATGAGCTCCCCATTGACATCAGGACAGCAGAAAGCTTACACACCTTCCGGCGCAGACTGAAAACTCATCTCTTTCGACTCCACTTCGAGCGATAGAACTATTAACAAAGCACTTATATACTAATAAAGGACTGGCTTACCTAAAGCCAGTTGAGTAGCACTTGAAATGTTTTTGCTCTATGAAGCCTGATGTACTTATATGATTCTGTTTTCTTCAAGTTTGTATTTTGTTGGTCGAACGCACTTATTGTAAGTCGCTTTGGTTAAAAGCGTCAGCTAAATGCAATGTAATGTAATGTAAAGCCATTACAGTCGTGATTGTACCTGGTAAATGGAAAAGAGAAAACTCACTTTGCAGAAACTCAGCTTTACTGAAAAAGCAAAAGGCATGCAGGGCAGCACATGGAAGCAATCTCAACACCAGGGCCCTTTGCCTGATATTTAACAGAAAGCCAATAGGAAGAGGAGAGATTCTTGTCATCAGTCTGCCCTGTGCGAGTTCACCACAGAATCATTTCCCCGCTGTTTCTACAGTAATAGTTTGATCACACAGTGTGCTTTAGGGGTCTGGTGAAAGTCAGGAGAGGGCAACTATTAAAGTGTTGAATAACAGACTTCTAACTCCCCTGCCTTTTATTTCTGCTTACTTTGATCAATTCTACATGCTAAGGCTTAGTATGGTCTCTCTGTGTACAGTATTGTAAAAGGCTTGGTACCTACTGTATATATATATATATATATATATATATATATAAGTTTAAAAGCTATGTTTGTTTCTTTTATTGCTGTGGAAAGCCTTGTTGTTAACCTCTCTATCTCTTTTTTTGTTTCAGAGCTGGAGACTGGAGCTGAGAGAGCTCATCACATCCAGCAGATTACTGTGACGCTTTCCCGCACCATCATCATCGTCATGAGATACCTTTTTGCTTTTCTCAATCAGTAAGTTTGTACAAATTCACATTTTATTTGAATCCACAGGTCCTGGTGTGTACAGACAGCATGTAGATGATTTTATTGTTGTACAGACATCAGTGCTTAACAATTAATGCATCATAAACTTAACTTACATGTAAATGTACTTAAAAATGGGGAAATCTATTTCAAACAAGAATAGTATTCGAAAATATAGTTGGGAAAATAACACACATAATTTATTGCTACGTCTGTCTGCAGCGATTTAGGAGTTATTTATGGGCTCGGAAACTCATGTCTCACTGAGGTAGTATACCTGTCCTCTTATAATGGATGTTTTAAATGGTCCTTTTTACTGGGTTTGCCTGCAGAACAAAGAGTTTGATTTGGAACCCGAGGTTTTACTCTGCTCTTCTGTACCCCGCTTCACTGCTGGAGCTGTTCCAGCTGTGGTTTTACTGCTCAGCCTCAGCTTGTTGATAATGTGCAATGACTGATTATGACTTCCTCTTACAGCATTGTATGATTTGGTTACCCATAGTGGGCTGTGGCATGCGCTAGTCATTTCCAGATAGGGGAAGACTGATCAGGGTGATTTTCAAGCACATTTCTAACTAAGCTCTGCAATAAAGCATGTAATACTGTACGTCAAAGCAGAATTTATTTGACACCAGACTCTGACTCTCTATTGGATTTGACTGCTCTATAGTTCTGCTTAAGGCAGGATTGATCACTTAAAGCAACTCTTTTCAGTATTTTTAACAATGGATCACGTGACTGCTTGTATAAAAACAGCGTCTCAGTTTTCCTCAGCTCTCTGTAGCTTTTTTACCGTTATTTGGCTCCCCCTTTCTTTTCTGGTTCAGTTTTGTTTTCGGCCGCAGAAAGTTGTGGTTTTCAGCGAAGAAGACGTATGCAACGTGGCCAGACACAAACACCACATTTAGCAACTATCTGGTGAACATACAGTAGAGGAGCATTTAGCTGCAAAAGAGACAGATATTTCCCTGAACTCTTTTTTAATACCAAAAACCAAACCAAAAAGAGGGGATCTTCAATTTAATTTCTCCAGGTGCCCAACCCAGTTAGATGGCAACGTTGATCTTGGTCTGCTAAATGTATAAAGATACTGTTTGTTCACTCATGCATCATAATAAATGTCCTTATTGGGTTTTCTGCTTGTTTGCACTGTCCACAAGTTGCCAACAATACATTCATTGCAGCAGGGTAATAATAACCAGTAAAGTGCTTTATGATATTTATATACATATTTTAAAAGTAAACAAAAGGATTGCCCAATCACAAAATATAAACTGTCAAATTGATTAACTATAGTCTTCTAACACAGACTACCAATAGAATGCAACTTCATTTAAACAAACTTTATTTTATGTGATGTTTAAGCTCGCTTTCATCATTCAACACACAATGTTCTCCTCTCCTGTCCCTCAGTCTCTCCCAGTACAGCGATGAGAACATGATGGATCCATACAATTTGGCAATTTGCTTTGGTCCAACCCTGATGCCAATCCCGGACGGATATGATCCTGTATCGTACCAGGCACATGTCAACGAGGTCGTCAAGACCATCATCATGCACCAGGAACTCATCTTTCCCAATCAACGTGAGCTGGACGGCCCCGTCTACGAGAAGTGCATGAGTGGGGGGGAGGAGTACTGGTTAGTACAATTAATTTTCTCTTAGATCTTGAATTATGCTCAGAAAACACATTTTGTCATCTTCCAATGTCTAAGTTGACTTTTTACTTTCCCTTTGCTCTCACAGTGACAGCCCACACAGTGAACCAGGAACTATTGACGAGGCTGACAATGGAACTGAACCGCACACCAGTGATGAAGGTCAGCATATCATAGTAGCCATTTTGTATCTATTTCCTATGAATGGGCCTCGTTGTTACCCAGTTCCAGCACCCAGGGAATGGAAATGTTGGTCTTTGTGGTATAGACTTAACTCTTCAACTTCCGGATGGATTGGACCTCTTGTCCGACCTGGATGTTGACATTTGTGGTTTGGAGTTAAGTGTTCTATCAAATAGATGGATTCCCATTAAAGTTGGTACAGATATTCAGGTTTTCCTCTAAGAATAAATTGTTACAACTTTGGAGATTAACTGAATTTGCTGGCAATTTGCCATCGTCAGGTCAAAAAGCCATGTTTCTGATTTATTCTGTCCAATGTTAGTAGCTGACATTAGTTAGCTCTGAACTCTAGGTCTTAACTGTGCAGTCAATACCAGTGAATATATTAGGATTATTTTTTCTCTGATTCTACAGCATTCACTGAGAAATGTAACCGTTTGTATTACTACTTTGCATACAATATATAAAAAAGAAACAAAGAGAAGTTTGAATCTTGGCAAATAGTCTCGCATGTTATTCACAAGAGAATATATGACCTGATTTTAGAAGCCTTCGTGGATAAGAAAGCAATGCAACCTGACCTTTTTTATTAAGTGCTTTTGTCTGAGAGGTGAGTGAGGTTTCTGCTGCAACAGCTTATGATTGCAAAGGCTTATGTGATGTTTGAAGCTGGAGGCAAGTTGAGTAAACAGTGTTGGCATGCAGCACTGCATCTTTGATCCGCCTTTCTGTGTGTGAGTCTCTCTCCTCTCTCCTCCCCTGCTAGCTCTTTGTTCAGTGTTAGTCAGCAATTCTCCTGAGACTTTCTCCTTTGTGCAGGATTTACCCAATTCTCCTCTGAGCTTTGAATGCATAACTGGGCCAGGCCCAAAAGCCAAAGCAAGGGTAATACACAGAATAATATCTCCTTTGCCGCATGTGAACAGTCAGTGGACTGGTCTAAGAAGTATGGAGTGTGTGAGGTCGGACTGGGGTCACACTATCTTTGAGCTTAGCTTGTGCTGTTGGCTGCTTTTGTGTTGAGTGCTGACCCTTGCTTTTTTTTGGTGCTCTTATTTGAAAAAGCAATCATGGGCTTCAGTGTTTCACTGTAGTTTCTTTAGCGGTGGATGTCCTTAGCTTTAGTTTTTTACATTACATTACATTACATTGCATTTAGCTGACGCTTTTGTCCAAAGCGACTTACAATAAGTACATTCGACCAGGAAGACACAACCTTGAAGAAAACAGAATCATATAAGTATATCAGGTTTCATAGAGCCAAACATTTCAAGTGCTACTCAACTGGCTTTAGGTAATCCAGTCCTTTATTGGTATAAAAGTGCTTCGTTAATCGTTCTAACGCTCGAAGTTTTCATGGAAGACAAAACAAGTTGGTGTCAGATTTAAAACCAAGCAACCACACTCTACCTTTTCTATTTTAATAACTCTCAAACTCATACCAAGTTTGGAAAGAAATACGCTTTTTATCTTCGTTCACTGTTCTCTTATACATCTTTGTGCCCAAAAAGAAAACTGTGTTTAAGATAACTGAATGTTGTCAACTGTACAGTTTACTCTTACTGACCCCTGCTGGCTGGTATGGTGAAATACACTGAAGATAAGAGCTTTCTTTTTTAATATAATCACAAAAATACTAATTTTTTCAGACTTAAATCACTTAAAAACCGTTTGTCATGCAATCATTAGTACAATAATTATTACTCCCATGTTAAAATGCAGCTTTGTTGCTCTGTACTATGTCTGATTTACAGTGCAGAGTGACATGGGGCAAAGATTGAAATTAAAAGCAAATATTTTATGTCTTAATGTTTGAGTAATATATGTACTGTAAGGTCCAGGATTTTGAATTATGTTGTTGAGTAAGCCATGTTGGGGTCTATCAAGAAGTTGATTAGGTTTGTATGGATTTTATGTTTTCAGAGGTTGAACAGATTGAGGCCATCGCTAAATTTGACTACGTGGGACGCACTCCCAGGGAGCTGTCTTTCAAGAAGGGAGCGTCTCTGCTTCTGTACCACAGAGCATCTGAAGACTGGTGGGAGGGACGCCACAATGGTGTGGATGGCCTCATCCCACATCAGTACATTGTGGTACAAGATCTGTGAGTAATGGCAGAATGTGTTTTTGTACTTTGTTTATCTCGTGTCATGTAATCTTCTCACTTCACAAAACTCTTTGCTTTGACTAAGATACTATTCCTTTATTGAATTATTTGAATAGGTTTTTCTGTTCTTTATGTGTATATCTTATACTCACTATCAATGCCTCTGCTCTTTCAGGGATGATGCTTTCTCTGATAACCTCAGCCAGAAAGCGGATAGTGAAGCGAGCAGTGGACCACTGCTGGATGATAAGGGCTCATTAAAAAATGATGCCCCTTCACCATGTGAACCATCACCTGATTACAACTTTGGTGGAGTCATGGGGAGGTAGATAAATTAAGAGTAAAACCTATTTGTTCCCTATTTGTTGTTTTGTTATATGTCGTTGCTGCTATATTGTACTGCCATGTGGTAAATACTTGTGTATGCTGCTCTTGCTCTTTTGCACTTTTTGCATATCATGTATTTTGTTTTTGCTATGTTTCTAAAATGTAATTTTCTTAAATGTTTTATGTGAGGGACTGCAGATCGAAATTAGCTCAAAGCTAAATCTGGCACTGTTACGCTTGACACATTTGAATGTTTTAAGTGTTCATTACTGTGCATTGTCCCTGCCAAATAAACGATTAAATTAAATGAAAAATTGTTCCCAACGTTCTTTTGAGAATATTGAAAATATTTCTGGTTTGACCTTGTAATCTGATCACTCTGCAGGGTAAGACTACGGTCAGATGGAGCTGCAATCCCTCGTCGTCGGAGTGGTGCAGAGACCCACAGCCCAACCAGAGGGGCCGACACCCCGCCACGGGCTGCAGCCTGTCCCAGCAGCCCCCACAAGGTGTCCATCAGCAAGGGGCATATTGAGAGCCCAGAAAAGAGGCGCATAGGCACCTTTGGCAGTTCAGGAAGCATCAACTACCCAGAAAGGAAGGCCTATCCTGAGGGCCACCCTTTGAGACCGGTGCCTGGGGCCACTCGCCACAGCAGCCTCGGGGACCACAAATCACTTGAGACTGAAGCTCTGGCTGATGTAAGTGTGGGAAAGGCAGAAGTCATGGGAAAAATCATACAGACAAACAGAAGTATATTTTGATACAATTGTTTTGTGTCCAGTAATGATATGACGTGTCTGGTAATTATAGCATATAAGAGGATTTAGAATGTTTGGTAGAATAGATCCAGGAGAGATCCAATCTGAGAGCCGCAGACCTGTAATAAATGTCAGGGTCAATACAGCCTAGAGATAGACACAGAGGCATGGACCTGAATAACAAGTTAAAGAGCATGAAAGGTTCAAATGTTCCTCATCAGCTAATTTCGGCAACATTAGATCGAAACACGATCACTTTTCAAAATGGAAAAAAAGTATATAAAATAAAACTTGTTTTAACATTTCAAATGCAAATTGAGTTAAGCAGATACAAAACAAGAATCAATCAAATGGTCAACATTCATGTTTAATATATTTGAACTGTATTTAAGGAGCCAACCTTTTAAGTGTCTGTATACCTGTTCACCCTGGCCTTCGGGCCCTAGCCCTTTCTTGGTCCCCCGGCTTCCTTTATTTTTTGTTCGCCCTTTGACTGTCTGTTTGTTTTGTTTGTCCACCATGTACAGCGACCTTGGGTCCCTTGAGAGGCGCTATATAAATATAATTTATTATTATTATTATACTTATCGTTCTGTTCGTCTCCTCTACCAGGACATAGAGAAGACTATGAATACAGCGCTTCATGAGCTCCGGGAGCTGGAGCGACAGAACACGGTAAAGCAGGCTCCTGATGTGGTGCTGGACACTCTGGAGCCCATGAAGAACCCGGTGAGCTCTGAGCCCGGCAGCCCTCTGCACACCATCATGATCCGTGACCCGGATGCAGCCATGCGCCGCAGCAGCAGCTCCACATCCGAGATGATGAGCACTTTCAAACCCGCTCTCTCCGCACGGATGGCTGGGGCTCAGCTGCGCCCCCCACCCATGAGGCCGGTGCGCCCCCCTCCCACCCAGCACCGCTCCAGCAGCTCCAGCTCTTCAGGGGTCGGCAGCCCTGCTGTGACTCCCACTGAGAAGATGTTTCCCAGTAACAGTACAGCTGCTGTTAGCATGGGTACATCCAGTGATGCTGGAGATAAGTCCGGTACCATGTAGCAAAGGTAGAATCTGCAAGGTGTTCAGGTTGTAAAGCTTGAAGTGTGGGAAAAGCTTATGGAAATGAGTGCTGATGTGTGAGAAGCAGATATGGATATTTTCCTCTGTTTTCCGCCTGACTTAATTCATATATTCAGGAAGCTCTTGAAGCAAGCCTACAATATGTTGCCATGGGGATAAAGCGGTTAAAGAAGCTGTAGAGGTGTGATAACGCAAAGCTCAACTCTCTTTGAATCTTGATCCAACTGAAGAAAATGTTTATAAGAATACATGTAATTCAGTTTTACCTCGGTTTAAAAATAAAGAATCTCTGGCCATATTCTCGTTTCAGAGATAAAATGGATGCAAGTGAAGCAATACTTGTGTAACATTTAGTATTGCTTTGCACCAAGCACACATTGTCCAGCTGACGTTTGATTTACTCCTTCTGAAGTGTATGAAGCACCTCATCTGGACAATGTCAACATTCAGGCTAAAATACCATGTCTGCTTACCATTGAGGTCACATGCTTTATGGCTGTACATACAAACTTACTTGAAGTACCCATGCTTTCTGTTTGTACTATAATAGAGTGGATGTTAAGCGAAGTGGCCCCTTAGAGACATTCTATACTTCTGCATGCTGGGTTTGGGTCAAATTAGCAAAACATTAAGACTTACATCATTTAGAAATGTGTAATGATGTGGGACTTTCTTATTTCCTCATTGTAAGAATAAGAAATCAGTTTGAAACTAGTTTGAAACCTAAACTTCAAAAAGAAAAATTCAGATGTACACATATTTGATTAAGAAACACATGGGGAACTCTCAGTGTTACGTTTTGAACCTGCCATGTGTGGGGTACTCTAGATGTTGTACCTAAATCATTGCATTCACTGCTTAAAATAAACGCATCCTGGCATGAATATGATCTCTGAAGCCTGAGATGTACTAATCTGACCTTAACAAAGCAAGTCATCCTCCAATATAGTGTATTGTTGGACTGTGGGCAGACTTAACAAAGCAAATTCATCAACTAATCTAGGAAACCTGTGGTCAACCTGTACATAATATATAGCTAGATTCTTTTTAAGTGGTCAGTCTTGTACAAAAAAAAGACAAAAAAGGTTGGCTGTAAATGGCACTTAGAGTTAAGAACCCCATATATCTGAATATTATCATATTCATTTAAGAACAAACATAATCTTTAACTGCTTAAAGTTCAAATAATAAACCTTGAACTGTCTGCTTTTGGGAATAGTACAGTAGAAAACGGATTGCTGTTGAACGGACAAGAAGCCTGAGTACATTCTTTCTTTATTATCTTTAGACACACTTGCCCATTTTCACACTCAGTTTGTTAATCTTGAATTGTTGCCACTTCAAATTACATTTGGGTGATATTATTTCATTATAGGCATAATAAAATACCCTCCGACAGTTCCTCTTTTAAATTAAAAATGTGATACTCACCAAGAGGAACTAGCAACGTTGATGTTGTGACATACTGTTATCAGATTCCTTCCTTCCTGCCTTTTTCTGCTTCTTTTTGATGAATACAGTTATGCTCTGACTGTAGACCATTTATTTAGTTGAAAGGAAACTAAACAGATACATTTCAGTGTTTATATCTACCATACCTCTTGTCACTCTGACAACTCTAGTCCAGACAGAGACCTTAATATCCGCATCCCAAAGAGTCTGCTGTGTGCTGCATGTCTGACTCATATTCTGCAGCAGTTAAACAATGGCTGTATGTGGTGCCTTGCCTTGGTAAAATGCACACAATAACTCAATATTGGATGTTTGTTTTTAGAGAAATGGTTCTTAACATTAACAGGGATTGGAAATGATTAATTAAACAGTTGCCAAATAGTGAAAGGAACAATGCTTGATTGAGTAAAATCAGTTTAAACATTAGCATGTAAACAAGGCCCTGATTCCACTGTTAATCTGCAGTCAGTCTGTATATTCTAAAGTGTTACTGATGTACATGTAAATTGAACTCATTTGCTTGTTGTCGAGGGATTGAGTTTTAGGGAAGAGCGCTCCAACAACCAGTAAAAAAAAAAGGAAATACAGCATTTAAACTCAAACAGTGCCCTCACACCCTCTGCTGGTTCCTGCTGGTATTGCCTCTTGTGACGCACTTTCCATGGGCCTTTTAATCTGGAGCTAAAATAACAATCACTAATCTTTTCCATATAGTTTCATGTGTTGGTCCTGGTTACAGTATTGTAACTGTTAAAATCTATGAAGAAGATGTTACTACAAAAGTCATGTTTATTAAAAAACAAAGAAAGCACACAATTTCAAAAGGGTTAAATTACCATCATTATATTTAACTAGACTGTTTTGTATTTTATTTATAGACACTTGTTTGACACATGCTTGAGTGCCTTTTGTGCACAACATCAATTTTTATTGGACTTTTATATTTACTTTTTTTACTGTAATATGTTGTCTATAAGTTGTCATGTTTATTATAAACTGATGTTGCGTTTTTATCTTTACTTTCTACTGCTACTCAGTTGTCAAAACACCATAAGAAATGAAGCGTGTACAGATATTCCTCTCATGAATTAAAGAGTAATATTCATGAAGTGCTCGTCAGTTTTTGAGGAAGAATAGGAGTTAAAGAAACTACTGTATAACAAGCTCTACTGGTGAAATTCAGTAGAATCATCTCAGAATAATTCTCTCATTTTTTAGTTTTCCCTGTGAACTGCCTGTGCTGTGGTTGAGCCGTACTCGTCATTTAGCTCCTTCCCTTCATTGCATTATTGTTGGTAACTCTTCCTCTTTTTACAGAGGTTATAAGGCACTTAATGCGCTGTTCTTCTCCCTACAGTACATGTGACATTTTACAAGGAATGTATGCTAAAATGGGTAACACTGTTAGTCTGCTGCCGTGAGAAGATAATAAATTAATATTGAAAAAGGACATCACAGTAAGAGCGCAGACTTTGATGTTGTGGGACCAGAGTGTGAGTTGCTGTCATACTGTTTACCTTCTCTTTAATTGTTTGTCTAGTGATGCTGTTTGTTGATGAGTGTCTGGTTGGTTGAAACCTTGTGATGTAATGTACACCATACCACTGACTGGATGTTGAAAACCCCTGCATCCAAATAAAACCATTATTGCTCTTTGATCTGGATAATGTGAGTGCATTTTTTTCTGATTTGTGGCATTAAAAGTCTGATCTAAAGGCTGAAAGCTGAATCCTGATGGATGGAAGCATTTTTATACTGTTGATACTTCATTTTATCATTCTTTAGATTAGAGCCCTTATACCTACCTAGTTCTCTTTTAATATGAATATTTATTATTAACAATGAAAGTCATTTTGGGTAAAACATTCTTACAATAGATATGATTAAAGTTTAAGATTCAAAACATCCCAAAACATTCACAATATTTAGTTGAATGGTGCTAAATCTAGATTGGTGCTTTAAGGTGCATGTTGACAAAACCTTTTAACTGATCTGCATCAACTTCAAATAAGTTAGAAAGGGCAGTAGGACAAACTGAAAAAGTCTGGCATTCTTGATCAGAAAAGGGCTGATGAGAATACACAAGCAATACTTAAAAGCTTGAATCCTACCGTACTCCTTATTGAAATGGTCATTTTTGTTAACACATTGCATGGCAGATATAAAGACTTATAACAAGTGGACTTCAAGGGCCAAGTCAGTAACAACAAAGAGAGAGAGAGAAGTAAATATAGATCATAAAAGAAAACAGGTATAGGCTAATAACTCTTCTTTACTGTAAAAGCAAGTACATTTTTATTTTATAAGCACAAGACCATAAGAGCAGTTTTCTCTGTACACTTTTGATTGACAGGGACACAACATAACATAAACCAGCAGTGGGTGAGTGGAAAGGATGAAAACATCCCAATAATTATTTAAATCACGTGAACCTGAGTCTGCAGTTTGCTCTGTTGCCACATGATGGAGAAACTGCACCACAAAAGAGTTAGATGGCCATGGTTGAGTAGTCAGCACACTGTTAGTTATAAACAATGATTAGGAACACTGTGGTGATGGATACGCAGAGAACGGAGTTTTGCATACATTCAGTGGCGGTTCTAGACCAATTTGACTGGGGGGCCAGTTATTTTCTGAGGGGGGCACAATAAACGCAGGACGAAAAAGAGAACTAGACAGTATGAAGTAATTGCGCATAAGAAAACAATGCAATACAGTTATTGGTATTTGTTTCAGTACACTTATTTATTTCAGATATATCTTATAGTTATTACTGTTAGCTTCAGCTTAAGTTATAGTGCAATGTTTGCACTCACACCATATTTATATAAAAATAAAGGCAATGAAGAGTTACATCTCTACTTTACATAAGGGTGTCTGCACAATCTCACATTACAGCAACAAAATCCTGCGGTTTTTGGCAAACCGAGTACCAGAAAATATACATTTAAAAAACTTTTCATTGTTAGGGGGGCCACAGGGGGGTCAGAGGTCAGTGTTAGGGGGCACTGGCCCCCTGCCCCCCCCTAGAACCGCCCCTACATACATTACAAAAAGTACTAACTACATGATTACATCTCCCTTTGAAATTGGCTTTCTAGTTCATTGGTCGGAGGGTGTTACGCCACCAGCTCACTCTGACGGAGCATAACAACAATTTAATTTGTTCCACCTGAGAAACCACTGTTCAACAAGGACGTGTCAAACAAGACACTGTGTTTACAGTTTTCATTAGTCTGGAAGGTAAACCAACGACTAGCCACTGAAGATCTACTGGAGCTGAACTTGTTGTTTCTGACACCTGAGCTAAAGATGTCTGTGGTGACCATTGCATGTATGATATGTGTAATGTGTATTTGTAAAGCGCTTTGAGCATCTGGAAAAGCGCTATAATAAATGTAAGGAATTATTATTATTATGATAGTTAAGGTTTACAATATGTGATCTCAATGTCTAAACGTTTGCATTGAGGCCATGTTGTCTAGAACAATTCTGTAAAAGTAATGTTGTTGTTATTATTCTGTTATTTCAACTGAAGGATCAATTAAAAATGTTTAGATATGTCATACAGTATATGTAATAAATATATCCTTTATGTCTTTATGTCTTTATTAGGATCCCCATTAGCACTAGCATGAGCATTGCTTATATACTGTATTAATAATAGAAAGAAAAAACATACTTTGATGTGCCTGTTTACAGAGAGTGTTATGTATATATTATCAGTCTAAATATTATTTCACATCATGAGAACATTCTTGAATTGCTTTGCATGATAACCTTTAAGGTTATTTTTTGAAGGGATTTGTTCCCTTTTTATTACCAACACATCACTTCTGACCCAATGATCTACTGTAGGGCTAGGTTGGAGGGTGTGTGTGTGTGTGTGTGTGTGTGTGTGTGTGTGTGTGTGTGTGTGTGTGTGTGTGTGTGTGTGTGTGTGTGTGTGTGTGTGTGTGCGTGCGTGCGTGTGTGCGTGTGTGTGTGTGTGTGGTGTGTGTGTGTGTGTGTGTGTGTGTGTGTGTGTGTGTGTGTGTGTGTCATGAAAAGACGGGACTAGTAATTGAGATGAACCAGTAAATTGTCTAATGAATCAATTAGATGACTTGGAGAGAAAACAAACAAAACCACGGCTACTTACGCTGGCATTGAAATTGTTGTCTGCCTCTCTAGAATGAGGAATGCCTCATCAATAATAACGGGCGCTCTAGCTGGTTTGAAAATAAGTTGCATTAGCCCTCTCCAATGGCCCATTTTGCACATTATGATTAATAAGCAAATAAGAGCAAACTTTTCAATAAAGCATAATTATTTCTTCTTAAGAGTCACAGCATATATATGAATTGAACAACATATACATATGCAAGTCATGTTTTCATTTTATTCAAGTTTTACCATTTTATATCTTGTTTTTTCAAACAACATAGCAGGCAGTGTGCCTGTGTCACGATTCTTGTGTTGTGTCACGTTTTTAGTTTTGTGTGTCTGGTAGTGGGTGTTTTGCTGTTCTCCTTGTCATGTTTTCCTCCCTGTGTATTGTCTGGTCTTTTCCCCTGTGTTTTCATGTCTGTCGTTAGTTTCCCTGGTGTGTCTAATTTCCTGATTGTTTTCACCTATGTCACCCCTTCTGTGTCTCCTGTGCTCATCAGTGTCAGCCCCGCCCCTGATTTTTCCACCTGTGTCTTGTTACCCTGTGTTTTAATTCCCCTGTCTCCCAGTGTTCAGTGTCAGTTCGTTTTTGTCTTTTGCCATGGAAGGTCTTGTCTCTTGCCACAGTCAGGTCTATGCTCTCTTCGTGCTATTGAAAAGTGTTGTTCCTCACCACGTAAGCGATTTTCATTTTGTTCTTATTTTTTTGTCATCTCAGCTAGAGATTTGAAAGTGACCATTTTTTGCTCATCTTGCTTTTTGTTTTGGAAAATAAAGTATCTTACCAATACTTACCTCTGTCTCCCGGGTTGTGCAATTGGATCCTTCCTTTTAAGTGCCTGAGTTCTTAACAGAACAAACTGACCATTATGGACCCAGCCGACCCAAGAACACTTCACGCCACTCTGTCAGCACACGGCGTGAACGTTTTTCACCGCGAGGAACAGCTGGGTATGGCCACCCAGAGAATACAAGAGCAGAGAAGAAGCCAGGCAGAGATTCAGGAAGACATCTCTACCCAGCTGCAACAGCTGGCTGAAAAGATGAATCTTTTGATCCCTCACCTGCGTACTGCTCCAGTGCCGGCCCCAGCAGCCATGGTTCCGGCTTCACTACCGGCCCCAGTAGCCATGGTCCCGACTCCAGTTTCGGCTCCAGTACTGGCTCTTCGGCCGATGCCAGCTTCCTGTGCCCTGTCGGCTTACCGACCATCTCAAGTCTCCTCTCGAGTCCCCTGTCAAGTTCCCTCTCGAGTCCCCTGTCAAGTTCCTTTTCAAGTTCCCTCTCGAGTCCCCAGTCAAGGTCTTTTTCAAATTCCCTCTCCAGTCATCTCTCGAGTTCCCTCTCAAGTCACCTCTCAAGTCCCCTCTCGAGTCTCCTCTCGAGTTCCCTCTCGAGCCCACCTCTCAGTTTCCCCCTCGAGTCCCCTGTCAAGGTCCTTTTCAAGTTCCCTCTCGAGTCCCCTGTCAAGGTCCTTTTCAAGTTCCCTCTCGAGTCCCCTGTCAAGGTCCTTTTCAAGTCCCCTCTCAAGTCCCCTCTCGAGTCTCCTCTCGAGTTCCCTCTCAAGCCACCTCTCAGTTTCCCCCTCGAGTCCCCGCTCAAGTTCCCTCTCGAGTCCCCTCTCAAGTCACCTCTCGAGTTCACTTTCAAGTCACCTCTCGAGTTCCCTCTCAAGTTCCCTCTCAAGTTCCCTCTGGAGTCCCTTCTCAGGTCCCCTCTCGAGTCTCCTCTCGAGTTCCCTCAACTTCCTCCTCGAGTCTCCTCTCGAGTCTCCTCTCGAGTCTCCTCTCGAGTCTCCTCTCGAGTCCCCGCTCGAGTCCCCGCTCGAGTTCCCTCTCAAGTCTCCTCTCGAGTTCCCTCTCGAGTTCCCTCTCAAGTCCCTACCCTATGTCGTGTGTCGTTGGAGGCCCCGACGGCTACTGTTCTGCCGGGGGTCCTGCCAACCCTATGTCCTGTGCCGTTGGAGGCCCCGACGACTACTCTTCTGCCGGGGGTCCTGCCAATCCTATGTCCTGTGCCGTTGGAGGCCCCGACGACTACTGTTCTGCCGGGGGTCCTGCCAATCCTATGCCGTTGGAGGCCCCACCGACTACTTTTCTGCCGGGGGTTCTGCCAATCCTATGTTCTGTGCCGTTGGAGACCCCGCCGACTACTCTTCTGCCGGGGGTCCTGCCAATCCTATGTTCTGTGCCGTTGGAGATCCCGCCGACTACTCTTCTGCCGGGGGTCCTGCCAACCCTATGTCCCGTGCCGTTGGAGGTCCAGCCGACACCTGTTTTGTTGGGGGTCCTGCCAGCTCCATGTCCTGTTCCGTTGGGGGTCCCGTCGAGACCTGCTCCGCCGAGTTTTCTGCCAACACCGTGTCCTGTCCTGTTTCGGGTCCCATCGACACCAGCCCTTGCTCCGTCGTGGGTCCCACTGACACCAGAGTTCCCAGTGGCTTTCGCCCTAGAGCCCGGTCTCCTGAGTTCCCCAGCCGAGGACTTCACCATGAACTCTGCCTTGCCCC